TCTCAAACCAAGTATTTATAATCTTTACCAGGATATGGGTGGTTTCCCATACTGACCAATCACCTGTCTCCACACAACAGACTTCCTCTGTTCTATGGGGTGTCCCTCTAAAACTGCTCCCCCTAAAACTGAATAAACATCCTCTCGGGTTCCACTTTGAAAACATTAGCAAAGTCATAATTCCTCAGACACTACACTAGTTTTTAAAAAGTAGTTAACGCATACTTTTACGAACAGTCTCCATCCCTCTCTCTCATCGTTATGTTGTGTACATTCCTCTCTCTCGCGGTGGTTTATGCGGTCTGTGTGTATCTAACCTAACATAGCAGGCATAAGTGTATACATCTCTGTCCGTCCGAGCCGGAAAAAAACATGCGCAATGGATTATGGTCATTGCAGTTACTTATCACGTTTGTGCATTGAACTATGTTGAATGGTTGAGGAATTTCAGCAGTGCGCGTGTTCAACAGTTGGCTTAGTTTTTTTACCCCTTTGGAATCTTGTTTGGTCGGGAGCTAGCGGTACTGGGCAGGTAGGCACAGCTGTGCTGTGAATTGGTCAGAGATGGTTGGAGATAATGATGGAGAAGAAAGTGAAGCAAGTATGGAACATAGCGGTACAAATAAAGGAGGGAGTAAGAAAGAGAAAAAGAAAGCAAGAGCGAAAGGGAGTAGGGATATGAAGGGGAGCGAGAGGTCTATGGAGGCAGAAAAGGAAGTATGAGGAGAGCAACCTAGCTTCCAACGCTAGCGGAAGTTCGGAGGTAGAAAGTGCAGAGGAAGGGCAAGATAAGACGCGAGGGGAACATGGAGGTGAGGAGGAGCATAAAGTGATTCTAAAGTTTAGGGAGGAAGGGGGGAGTTGGGGCGATGAGTCCGATAAGGTTGACGGCTGTGATAAAAGAGTTGACTGGGAGGTTGTCAATGATGAAGTGTTAAGAGATGGGAGCTTGTTGGTCTTCTGTAAGGACATGGCGCAGAGGGAAAAAGCTCTCAGAGTGAAGCAAATAGCGAATTGTAAAGTGGAGTGGAGCAGCTGGACTGATCAAGCAGGTAAGCAGTGGATTAAAGGGGTGATAACAGGAGTGCCGGTGAGTGTTATCACGAAAGAGGTAAGGGACAATTTGAGAGGAGGCGTTCTAGTGAATGTACAAAGATTGCAAGTAACAAGGGGTGGAGTTAGGGTAGATAGCACGTCTATTCTGTTACATTTCAAGGACCGGATACTGCCAAATAAAGTAACAATAGGATATATGAGTTATTATGTGAGGGCTTATGTACCGAAGCGTTTAAGATGTTATAAATGCCAGAGGTTTGGGCACCTTCATAAAGCAAGGAATTCCCTACAAGATGATAGGCAAAGGTATTGAACAGAAAAATGTGGAGGTGGAGGTGTGGCTGAGAGGAGGGGTGCTAGTGGTAGTGAACTACTATAATCTGTGTCAGATATTGGACATGGAAGTGCTGGAGAGGGTGGAGGGCCAGGAAAGAAGTAAGGTAATGTGGTGTGGGGATTTTAACACCCACAACACGCTTTGGGGGGGGGGTGAATGTAAATGGCCAAGTGATGGAAAATTTGATAGAAAATAAAGATCTGGTGTGCCTGAATGATGGCAGAGGGACCAGGATTGATGTAGCCACAGGGAAAGAGTCTGCCTTGGACCTCACTCTGGTATCTAGTACGATGGCAGGAATCTGTGAGTGGGAGGTATGGGAGGAGTCAACAGTAGGGAGTGATTATTACCCCATAGTATGCACAGTAGGCTGGAGGGAGGAGGAGGTGGGTGTTTGGAAGTGCAAAGTGGGATCAGTTTCAGGAGCTGAGTGAGCAGGTGATGGCTCGGGTGGATATGAGAGGGGATGTGGATAGAATGAATAACTGGGTGAGAACAGCGTTAGTGGGGGCAGCTACTGAGGCTATACCTAAGAGTTCACAGAGGAGGAAAGCAGTCCCATGGTGGACGGAGGAATGTGGGGCAATGGTGAGGAGTAGGAACAGGGCATTTAGAGTACTGAAAAGGATGCATAACTTCCAACATCTGATTCAGTATAAGCAGGCCCAGGCCATGGTGAGGAGAACTATGCGTCAGGCAAAGAGGTCATGCATCGGTTCTGTGACACCATTGGAAGGGAGACACCTGTTGGAGAAGTGTGGGGGGTGATTAAGAGGATGAGTGGGGTCAGAAGGGAGTGGGATTATCCAGTGTTGACAAGTGGGGAGGATGTGGCAGTAACAGATGAGGAGAAAGCAGAGATGATGGCCAAAGCTTTTGTCCAAGTGCATAGCTCCGCAAATCTGGCAGAGGGGCAGAGGGGGAGAGAGAACACGAGAGAGGAGCACCATTTACCAGGGCAGAGGTGAAAAGAGCAATAGGTAAGGCTGGGTTAACTTCACCTGGGAAAGATGAGGTGTGCTATGTTATGTTGGGCCATCTTAGTGATGAGGCAATGGATAAGGTATTGGTGTTGTACAACAGAGTGTGGGAGGAGGGGAAACTACCAGGCAGTTGGAAGGAGGCAGTAGTGGTAACAATCCGGAAGCCCAGGAAGGATCCAACGAAGCCAACAAGCTATCGGCCAATAGCTTTAACATCACATGTATGTAATTATGGAGAGCAGAGGGCTAGTATCGCCACATCAGAGTGGGTTCAGGAAGGGTAGGGGAACTATGGATCCAGTGCTCTGCTTAGAAGCAGAGGTCACGAAGGCTCAGGTGAATAAGGAGACTGTTGTAGATGTCTTTTTTGATGTGGAGAAGGCGTATGATATGATGTGGAAGGAGGGCTTGTTAATCAAGCTTGATATTATGGGGGTAGGAGGAAGAACGTACAACTGGATAAATTATTTCCTGTTTGGAAGGTCTATCCAGGTGAGGGTGGGGAAGTCATCATCAGGCAGCTACTTGGTGGATAACGGTACACCACAGGGGAGCGTGATTAGTCCTCTGTTGTTCTCAATCATGATCAATTATGTTTACTCTCAGGTACAGCCGAATATAGGGAGGTCGTTATTTGCAGATGATGGGGCCTTATGGACAAGGGGAAGAAATGTGCCATACATAGTCAGGAAGGTACAGGAAGCAATTGATGAGGTGGAGTGATGGGCATTAATGTGGGGATTCAGGTTATCTGTAGAGAACTCAAACAGTGTTCTTTACCAGGAGGAAGGTGGGAGATGAGGTATGCTTGAGGTTATATGGGAGAAACATGGAGAGGGTGGGGGCCTTCAGGTTCCTTAGGGTGTACTTTGACACTAGACTGACCTGGGCAGAACACATTGAGAGAGTGGTGGGAAAGTGTAACAAGGTGCTAAATGTGATGCGCTTTCTGACGGGGAAGGAGTGGGGGGGCTGGGTGTTCCTCATTGAAGACCATGTATTGATCCGATCTGTAATAGGCTATGACAGTATAGCATATGGTTTGGCAGCCCGGACCTCATTGGAAAGGCTAGATATCATACAGGGGCAAGGACTCAGAATATGTAGTGGGGCGTTTCGGACGTCCCCAGTGGCTGCATTACAGGTGGAGATGGGGGATATACCACTGCAGATTAGGAGACAGCAGCTGGCAATGAATTATTGGGTCAACCTACAAGGACATGGGGTGTCTCATCCTGTGAAAGGGATTTTACAGGCATGCTGGGAACATGAGCGAAGACAGAACACAAGCTTTGGGTGGGTGGGTAATACCCAGGCAAAGGAGATGGGACTGTATGGAAGGGAGTTTAGTCCAACCGTAGTTATTCCTGTAAATCCACCATGGCTACTCCCGCCTCCAGTAGTTGATCTAGAAGTGTTGGAGAGACTACAGAAAGATAGGGAGGGTGTTGATCCATCTGATTTCTTTAAGAGACGTCTGGAAACTGTATCAGGATTTTGTGGCCATTTACACAGATGGTTCAAAAGATCCAAGGACAGGACGTACTGGGTCAGCATTTGTAGTGCAGGAATGTGGGGTGGAAGTCAGGAAACGTATTACAGATAATCTGGCTGTATATACGGAGGAGCTGATGGCCATACTGTTGGCCTTGCAGTGGGTGGAGGAAGTCAAACAAGACAGAGTAGTTATTTGCTCTGATTCATATGCAGTGTTAATGAGTCTCCAGTCCTTTAGCTCACGTAGCAGACAAGACCTGCTTTATGAGGTGCTACAAACCCATGGCAGGATTAAACAGATAGGTATTCCGATAAGATTTACTTGGGTCCCAGCCCATGTGGGGGTGGAGGGGAACGAGGCAGTAGATGAATAGGCTAAACAAGCACTTAGTAGTGGGGATGTTGATGTTGAAGTGTCAATGAGCAAGGCAGAGGCAAAAAGACTGATATATACAGTGATAGTGCAGAGATGGCAGGAGCAGTGGAATAGAGATAATAAAGGAAGGCATTTATTTCAAGTACAGAGGAAAGTCGGGGAGGGGAGGACGGCAGGAAGGGACAGAAGAGAGGAGGCTATTTTTACATGATTAAGGGTGGGACACAGCCAGTTGAATAAGACATTAAAATGTGATAGGAAAGCGTGATTATTGTCAGGAAACAGACTGTGGAGCATGTATTGCTACAGTGTGGGAAAGAGAGAGGATGATATCTAGTATGAGGGAGAAGGGGATACAGGAAATTTGTTTAAAGAGTAAATTGAGTAGAACATCATTAGATATAGTCTCAAATATTTCATATTTTTTAAGAGCAACGGGGCTGGCAGGTAGGATTTAGTTTCTCCCTGTCTCTGGCCCACACTCCAGTACAGTAGATGGCGGTAATGCACCATAACGTTGGATGCCAACCACCGATAAACCCCACTGAAGAAGAACTATGTTGACTATTTGCTTAATGAAAACTACAACTCCCTTCAGCCCAGTGTCCCATATAGTTCTCGACTTAATTTCTCTCGTGAATGATTTGATTTCTTTCTAGAGAAGCGGCGCGTTGGGCTCACCAAAAAAAAAAAAACTAAATAGATTTCAAGTAATTGAACCGACGTCGGTCAATTAGTTGTTTAATAACCTTTGTATATTTAAGCACACTAGGGTGATAGAGGAACGCTGGTTTTTAAAGCAGAAAGTAAAAGCTGTCATATTTCTACCCAGACTTAAAGAGGATATGTCTACCTGTGCAAGTTTAAAAAAGGTTTCTAACAATCAGCAATAAAAATACAACATAAAAAGCACTGAAGACTGAAAATAAGTCACAAGTAATGTGAAAGTAAAATGGTTTATTTTATGACTATTTTTAAACAAAATAAATCTGAGGTAAATATTTAATTTGCAGTTTCTATGTGATTTCTCTTGTAAATGTTTCATTTGGTTATTTCATATTGTTCAGCAAGCAAACTCCATGCGAACCTCACCAGTTCTAGAATTTAGGCTATAAAAATTGAATTTCAAACAAGTGGTCTTGGAATCCACTAATTTTATCTAGTTTCTTAATTTAAGACAAATGGCATACTACAAGCGTATTCATCTTCATACAATAGACTAGGAGAATATCAAATAAAGGAAAATGAATACTAACAAAGAAGCATATATAAAATCTAAAAGCATTGACATGGACAAACCTGATGGGGAGATAAATAGTATGAAGGTTTCAGAAAGGTTTATTTTTCATTCTAACCAAAACATTAGCCTGGTGGAACCAGCCTGATCGCTGTGTTCACCATTCTATTTAACTTACGTGCAGTGAAAGAGAATGGTAAACGTAGCAATCGGGCTGGTTCCACCTGGCTACCAATCTATTGCATCAGTGTAGAATCTGTTCTGGGTATATCCCCATGGTCATGTAAATCTCTTTTAGGAGTAGTAGGGCTGTGTCTTCCGACTCCCTGCAAAAAGAAAGGAACAAATAAATATGAATGACTGCAGACTGAATGATTTGTCAAACAGAATACATCAACTTAAAATAGATCAGCTGTGTAGAGAAGACACATTTATTCCAAGCCATGGAGTGGGTTTTAGCCTCAGATTCCAAACTCTTAAGCAGTAGACTCAAAATCGGCAGAAGAGCCATTATTGAGAATAATATGGCAACATTTTCAAATTATATGGCTCAATTTTAAATCATACTGCAGCTATAAACAACCACACACAAGTATAACCTCGTGTGGAGCGCCCAAGGGGCAGAATGATATGAGTGGCTGATCCAGCCATGGCCCACATGAAATGTATTCAACAGTGCACATTAGTCACCATTTCCACCTTAATATAAAAGTGCCAGAACTGATTTTCATACCAGTAGCACAGATGACTCTGCAGGGCGAAAAGGTACTCGTTGAAGCTCTCGATGGGCTTCTCCTGTAGGACGTAGTCGATGCGGTTCCCCCCGTTCAGCATTCCTATCTTCATCTGGGCCTCCTCTTCTCTCAGCAGCTCAGGACTCTCCACTATCCTGTGTTCTGTGACTAATCAAAGTTTTAAAAATGTTTAAATAAACTTATTTCTTTTGCCCTATACAAATAAACCGAAATACCAATATTTCATTACTTATTTAATCACTGTGCCCTTATACTCACCATCACTGTGTGCATGCTTCTCCTCCTCCTCCTTGATCTGATTGGCCACCATGGCGAGCTCGGCCGCCAGCTGGGCGTTGGAGGTGTGAGCGCGGGCGAAGTCGTTGAGGGTCTGCCAGGCACTCCTCAGGGAGCTGATGAAGCCGTGCTTGAGGTCCGAACCCATGCGGGACAGACTCTCCTTCAGCTCTGCCACACACAAACAATTCATAATGTAAACCCCTCACCGCCATACATTATCCTAAAACAAATTACACTTGGGAACCAATGGTTGACAATGGTAAGGTAAGAATTATAAAAAAAATCTGAGGATAAAATAGCCAGTGGTGAATCTATAGTTCCATACCTAGATGCAGCCTCTTCCTCCCTTTGTGATGTGGAATCAGAACAGGTTTCAAGTCCAAGTCTGGCAAGATCATGGGCTCAATCCTGTAAGCAACTGGGTCCAGCTAAAACAAACAGATCTACTCTAATGAAACACATTGGCATTAACCATGTCACAGCTCAATCAAATGTATTTATAAAGTCCTTTTTACATAAACCGTTGTCACAAAGTGCTTTATAGCTGACAGTATGTCATCTGCATGCACACCCATACTCCAGGAAAGATATGTGTGAGAAAGATTGGCTAACCGGATGGTAAATGTTGAAGAATCCCTTGCAGGTGGGCAGCTGGTAGTTTTCCTCGATCTTCTCCAGCCCTCGCACTGTGAGGAACATCCCTATGGGAGATCCCAGGGCAAAGAAATTCACTGGTTCAAAGTCCAGAGTGTGGTACACCACCGACACCTATGGGGCAGAACACCAACACCAGACAGTGCTTTTAGATAACTACACTGAACAAAAATATAAACGGACATGCAACAATTTCAAAGATTGTACTGAGTTACAGTTCATATAAGGAAATCAGTCAATTGAAATAAATTCATTAGGCCCTAATCTATGGATTTCACATGACTGGGAATACAGATATGCATCTCTTGGTCACAGATACCTTTAAAAAAAAGTAGGGGCATGGATCAGAAAGCCAGTCAGTATCTGGTGTGACCACCATTTGCCTCATGCAACTCCTTCACATAGAGTTGATCAGGCTGTTGATTGTGGCCTACGCAATGTTGTCCCACTCCTCTTCAATGGCTGTGCGAAGTTGCAGGATATTGGCGGGAACTGGAACACGCTGTCGTACACGTCGATCCAGAGCATCCCAAACATGCTCAATGGGTGACATATCTGGTGAGTATGCAGGCCATGGAAGAACTGGGACATTTTCAGCTTCCAGGAATTAAGCCGGATGCGGAGGTCCTGGGCTGGTGTGGTTACACTTGGTCTGCGGTTGTGAGGCTGGTTGGACGTACTGCCAAATTCTCTAAAACAACGTTGGAGGCAGCTTATGATAGAGAAATGAACATTCAATTATCTGGAAATAGCTCTGGTGGACATTCCTGCAGTCAGCATGCCAATTGCACACTCACTCAAATCTTGAGACATCTGTGGCATTGCGTTGTGTGACAAAACTGCACGTTTTAGTGTGGCCTTTTATTGTCCCCAGCGCAAGGTGCACCTGTGTAATGATCATGCTGTTTAATCAGCTTCTTGATATGCCACACCTGTCAGGTGGATGGATTATCTTGGCAAAGGAGAAATGCTCACTAACAGGGACGTAAACAAATGTATGCACAGAATGAGAGAAATTATATTTTTGTGGGTATGGAACATTTCTGGGATCTTTTATTTTAGCTCATGAAACATGGGACCAACACTTAACATGTTGCGTTTATATATTTTTGTTCAGTGTACTTTAGATCCACACACCACATTCTTTTTTCATTGCCAGGTCTCCCTTGGGAAAGAGGTCTTCTGACCTCAATGGAACTTCCTGGATAAATAAGGGTTAAATAAAAAATAAAATGCTTTGATGGAAAAATGTGTCCTAATGAAAATGTATGCTTATGCATGACATTACAGAAAGGCTGTAGGCTAACATCATTAGGTCAGGATTCAATCAGATCAACGGTAACCTGCGTTAGCTTTTGTTTAGGCGGTGTCGGAGGTGTAACTGCGTTAGAGCTGTCAAATCAGTGAGCAGCTGCTCTTGTGGTCATTGTTACGAAACCACACCTGTCCTTATATCCCACCCGTGTTCTGTTCAGAATGAGAAAGTGTAGGCTATATAGAAATAATAACACTCAAATCATTAAATGAAAGGGATTTTATTGGCCTAATCGAGGTGTAGATTACATTACACATTCCAGTGTTCGAACTTGTAACGCGGCTGCATGGGATTTCTACTAACGCATCTTGGTGCATCCAATGGCAAAGTCTGCAATACATAACACCAGGAGCCGCTTGAGGATTTGACAGCTCTAACACAGTTACACCTTCGACACCGCCTAAACAAAAACAATGAAAAGCTATGCGTTTGTCCTCTAACGCAGTTTACCGCTGATCTGATTATTATTATTATCTGATTGAATCCTGACAGAGGTTTAGGTTTACCTGTCCAGTGCCAACTTCGAAGTAGTTGTAATCCACATGGACAGAGGAGTAAGTCCCACCAACAGGAAGCTTCGTGGTGCCTGGCCCTGGGAGGGGCTCGCTTGATTGGGCAGGGACAACCTCTTGACTGGCCACTTTCACTTCTGCTGCCTTCTTCTCTTGTGCTACCTGACGTGTTGCCTGGCAAAAGGAGTCCGAAGATAGATGGCACATGAACACAGGATTATGTTTAGTTGTCACTGTTTTAACCTTCACTGGCTCGTGTTCAGTAGGGCACACTGTAACGAAACGTTTTGCAATAGAAAACAAAACGCTGTATTCTAATTTCAGTTAGTACCGCCCTGTTTCAAAACATTTTCTTCCTATTGAACACAACACTGGTGACTGAGCGAAAAAGACGATTAAATCATCACCTGCTTAATTGCTCTTTCTTTGACAAACTTGGCTATTTTCTTCCTTGGCCCCAATGGTATGCCCATCTCTTTCAGGTCCTCAACTGTGCACATAAGCTAACAGAATATAGAAGAAAGAGGAAATTAGATTGTAACCACCAACTCTAGGATATGGCCTAGGGAGTCATTGCAATATAATTGAATCATTTACTTTCGGTTCCTGGGACATTTCACTCAAAAGTCAGTTATTTTCAGACCTCAAATGTGGTCTTCTGTTCAGATAAGCCCATACCCATTGGTTTTGTAGATCCAGCTATATCCATATAGGTATATCCTTATAGCTACAATCCAAAATGAATAGAAAAGATAAGCACAGTAAATTATCTTTTCCATTCATTTGGGGTAGGAATCATGATTGATTTAGGCATAAAGCTGGATCTACACAACCAATGGCGTGACTCACCTTGACTTTTGAGGTCTGAAAACATCTGGCAAACGTTTTATTTTGGAGTGTAATGTCTCTTTAATAGTGTCATAAGTTTTGAAAGTAAATATCAATAACTGTATGGGTTCATGACAAGCAAGGAGGGTTCTTACGAAAGATTCAAGGTCAATCTTCTCCTGTTCTAAAGTGCTCTGGTACTCAGACAGGCCCAGATGTTCCAGCGCAGAAGAAAGATCGACAAACTCCTTCCCTTCCTCTTTAGGCTCCTCCTCTACAGCAGCAGGTGGAGTAGCAGCAGCGGGGGAAGCCACCTGCTTTAAGGAGAAGTGGGAAACTCCAGGTTATACTCCTATTGTTACACTCTCTGGTGTCACCTAAATAATGAAATGAACAATGTTTGGATAGTTATGGACCTGTTTGGTGTCTGCAGGGTGGCCCCCATTAGCAGTTGGCATGGTTTGCAAAGGTGAGCCATTCTTCTGGTTTGACAGCAAGTCGAAAAGTATGAGAGAACCTGCAAACAAACACTCAGAGAGACATGTTTGTCCAAATCTTTCTCACATGACTAAGCTAAAAGTATGAACACTTGGGGATGGTTTCCCGGACTCAGATGAATGCTGCGTTTAGATCGTACGAGGTAGACGGTAGATGGCAAACCGGATGTCATTGTTTTCAATGAGAGCACAATGGTAAATGCCGTCAGCCGTCACGGTAGACGGGACTTGCCGCCAGAGTTCAAATCTTTCAACTTTTGTCGTCTGCCGTAGCGTTGTTTTCTACCGGATGTTGATTTGCACTGATTCTTTACTGAAACCCCCATAGCAACGCATAACGTCGTGCTAGCTTGCTTTTGACATCACCCTCTTTCTTGTCCCGCTATGCCGACTGGTATGACGGTTTTTGCGTCCCTCATCTAAACGCAGCATAAGCCTAGTCCTGGCCTAAAAAGCACTTTCAATAGAGATCCTCAATTGAACAAAGGTTTTTAATCCAGGACTAGACTTCATCTGGGTCCGGAAAAGTGGCCCTTTGTGTTTGTACCTAAACTGTGTCCGGATACTGAGATGCCTCCTGTGAAGTCTGGGTTCCGCTGCATGAACAGGGCATAGATCCTGTTAATCTCCAGGGCAACTGTGTCCATGATGGTCTGGCAGTAGGTGGGGCTGTTGTAGAACAGCACGTCTAAGAGGGTCTCGTTAGTGAAGTGACGCAGGCGACCCGTGCTGGGCAGGGTGATCTTCTTTATTCTCCTAAAACAACAGTAAGAAATTGATTCAGAAATTGAGTCAGAGAGATTGTCTGCGTCTGAAAAATTTACTAGACATCAAATCCTTGCTTCCTCAGTCCTCGTTTCCTCTCAAGGCGCATTGGAGGAGAGGATCTAAGGTCCATCCCTTGGACCTTTTCCTCCAATGAACTTTGAGAGAAATTGAGGAAATTAGGACGGAGGAAGCATTAGCAAGGTTTTGACAGCTAGTAACATTCTCTGACACAGCCAGTGTGGTTTAATTTGTACAAGCTTGCCACTAAGGTCAGCACAGATGTTTTGTGTTACAATATAATTTCCCTATCACACAATCCCTATTCCCAAGTGTATGAACATCCTCAAATTCCATTAGTGTCTCCTCACTTGTCCACCCCTGTGGCATCCCCGTGCAGGGCCGTGTGCCACTGAACAGGAAGGAACTCCACTCGGCTGATGACACGCTCATCCTGCGCCTTCTTAAAGTGACTTTGCAGCAGCTTCAGGGATACACTCCGGAAGTCATCCACTGTGAACACAAGGAACACACATTTGTAACAGTCTATCTGGGGTAGTATGGAGTACTAAATGGATATTCAACACAATTACATTCAATAAACGTTATTCATTATTGCTGGGCATAGTAAACAACAACATGACAGGAAGAACATACCATGACATATACCATTCATGACATAAACAAGCACATCCATAATACGATATTAATATAGATCTGAAAAATATAGAGGCTTATTGAGCTATATGGAGAAATAGCACATACCACACTCCACCATGCTCCTGAACCTCAGGTCACAGACTGGACCGATGCCATGCACCATGAACACCAAGTGATCCACCTGAGGGAGCTCCCCATCGGGAACTTCGTCATGGTCATCATCGATGCCCCTCTTGACCACCCTGGGTCTGGTCTGTCCATCCTGGGTTGTACCCCACTCATCTGGCATGGCGGAGGGCTGGAATTGTACTATCACCTGTTGAACGACAGATAAAAAGGCCTTTTCACAAACTAGAAATACAGTCATGTCTGGGTCTGCAAACAAAGTCCACTCAAAACCATAATGTTATTTTTCCTTACGGTCTTGTTCAGTGTTCACAATTGCTAACTACCTGCTACCTATTGGTGCTTGTTTTAATGAATTCCAAAGAACAAAACAAGTTATGAATAAGTTCTTACTTTGTAATTACCATGTTACCATGTAATGTTTTTGTAAATACTTGGTAATTCTGCACTGTAAAATTAAGTCCTACCAACATACCTTTGGATTGTGCATGACAATGGTTTCCCCTGATGGGAACTCCAGCCGACGGTGCCATTGGTTGGTTGACACAGCTTTCTTATATTCTCCCTACATAGAGAAGACAGCCAAACAAACATAGCTCAGACATAACATTCACCTCTCAGTCAACTCTCAGGGCTAAAACCCAACACACCACATGGTCAACTGTATTTCATTTGGGTAACAGTGAGACAAAACTTGGGTATTGTTCATTAGGGCGCACTGTAGTAAAACATAGCTAAACGTTTTGCAATGGAAAACGAACACAGGCGTTTTCAGAAGTACATCCCTATTTATGACTGTTTTCTTTCATTGCGTGGCCTAATGAACACGACCCTGGTCAATACAAGGTCCTGTTTTTTTACAACGATGGGACAAACCTCTAGCTTTTCGCTGAACTCCTCTGAGTAGGGGATGAAGCGGCTGTCTGAGTCTCCCTTGTAGAACCAGGTGCAGCGCCGCACTTCTGTAGGTTCCTCCTCCCAGAATACAGCTGTTCGTATGCGGTCATAGAGCTGCACGTCATAGCGCCCTCCGTCTGTGCACACAATCACGCTCTCAGGGTCCGGTTGCACTGGAGGAGAATGAAAAAAATGTAGTCTTTATTCTTTATTGTCTGTTTCACACAGATATTTGCTTTACGTACAAGAAAATGCAGTGCGACAGGAAAAGATTCACAACACAAAGAGACATGGCATAGGCTTGACAACATACAATTTTATGAAAAACAAAACAAAAATGACAACAGACTCTACGAGTGTGCATAAATTAGGGTTGTGTTTATTTGGGCATGCAACGGATAATGTTTCAAAACATTTTGCAACTTTTGCTGCCTAATGAACATGCCACAGATTTCAAAATAGCACTGTTTAACCAAACAGCTTTAACAAATTCCTAGGCCTACATAAACAAGAGAGCGATGCAAAGTCAACTTGGATAACTATAATATGAATGGCTCTAATGTAGTAGAAATCACATCCTTCTTCTCACCTGAATTATAGATCTCCTCCAGCTGAATGGAGTCCAGGATACTGAAGGGAAGCCAGGCGCTCTTGGACTCCACTTGTTTGCAGAAGAACCAGTGAGGCTGAACAGCCTCGTACACATTGTATTGCATTATTTGATTGGCTGGGACCAGTGCTCCAGCAGTGGCGGAATGTTGGGCCATAGGGGGAGGCCCCTGAATCTGTGTGGGAGGGGGCTGAAGAGAAAGTAAAGACATTTATATTAGCCTGATTACCCAGCAATAAATAGCAAGAGAAACCAGTGAATGCTAACACCCTATCAGAGTGGAGTTGTTGTTTACCTTTGTGAATGTGGAGGGTGACGATTGGAATGTTGGAGCTGGAGAGCCCATAGTGTACGGATTTTGCTGCGGCGGTGGATGGACTACCGACTGGACCTCTGGAGCTGGCATATAGGGTTTGGCTCTGCTGCTGAGGGGTGTGTGACGGTATGGATTATAACTCTGGTCGGGGGCTTGTGGAGGGGGTGGGGTCACTGTGCTCGGGGGAGGAGTGTAGCGTCCCATAGGGTTCTGATAAACACCAGTGCCAAATGGCTGTGGCACAGCAGGGTTGGTTAGTGGGACAGGGGGTGTTGGGGCCATGCTGGCAACACTGGGGACAGAGGTTGGTCCCGATGTCGCGGGGGCTACTGATAGTGACGCTGGTGGTGGACATGCCGGCTGATGTCCGATGGAGGCAAATGGGTCACTGCTGTTCACGGGACTGGAGAAGTAACTAAATGTGGATGGTGCTGGGGCATTTCCAGAGGCCTGGCCAAGAAAGCTATCTTCTTCTCCAACATCTGCAGTATCATCTTGGAAAAATAACAACAGAAAATTTGAGCAACTGAGTTACTGCAGTAGATTTGAACTTGTCAACAGTACATTCATTCTAAATGTGCGCAATGTCAACCCACCCCTTGCGAACCTCAACTGACTAACTAGCTACAGACAAACAAGGGTTCTGTTGAAACGACAGTTCTGTTTACCTGACATGACACTGCTGTAGCTAGCTGAGGAACGCTGAACTACGTTCTCTTATATCGAGGCGGAGTTTTGATAACTGGTCGCACGATTTGCTAGCACCAACATTGAGTCACCATAAGTCGATACTTGTGTGTATACAGTTGAAGTCGGAAGTTTACATACACTTAGGTTGGAGTCATTAAAACTCGTTTTTCAACCACTCCACAAATTTCTTGTTAACAAACTATAGTTTTGGCAAGTCGGTTAGGACATCTACTTTGTGCATGACACAAGTAATTTCTCCAACAATTGTTTACAGAAAGATTATTTCACTTATAATTCACTGTATCACAATTCCATTGGGTCAGAACTTTACATATACTAAGTTGACTGTGCCTTTAAACATCTTGGAAAATTCCAGAAAATGATGTCATGGCTTTAGAAGCTTCTGCCTAATTGACATACTTTGAGTCAATTAGAGGTGTACCTGTGGATGTATTTCAAGGCCTACCTTCAAACTCAGTGCCTCATGGGAAAAACAAAAGAAATCAGCCAAGACCTCAGAAAAAAAAATGGTAGACCTTTGATGACAGCTTTGCACACTCTTGGCATAGTGTGAGTGTGAGTGTGCAAAGCTGTCAAGACAAAGGGTGGCTATTTGAAGAATTTGTTTAACACTTTTTTGGTTACTACATGATTCCATATGTGTTCTTTCTTAGTTTTGATGTCTTCACGATTATTCTACAATGTAAAAAAAAAAAAAAATGAGTAGGTGGAGTGAGTAGGTGTCCAAACTTTTCAAAAGTTTGGACAAACCTACTCATTCCAGGGTTTTTCTTTATTTTTTACTATTTTTGATTGTTGGCTATTTAGAATTGTAGAAGAGTAGCCAAGTCAGTTGAATGAGAGAGAGACACAACTGAAAACTGTATTGAAGAGAGGTGCACCAGATAAACTATTTTAAATCTTTAATGTTTCAGACCCACTTCATTCTTCTCACCATACCCTATCCAGGTCCCAAGGTTTAAGAGGGTACACTAAACCACAAGACCATGTGTGTTGTGTTTTTTCACTATGAGCTAAAGGGGTTTAAGAGGGTACTAAGCCTACGCTTTGCCATTGCAGAGCGAGTAGTCAATGTTGCATTATGTAAGTACCATAAATTACTACGTTTTTACCCGAAAGACGGTGGGACACAGACCATCATAATACATTGTAAACAACTACCATGCTTTCATGTTTCACTACATGCTGCTAGTACAAAACCATGGTATTTTTTATTTGTACTACCATGGTTCATTTGTGTACCATGGTAGCTAGTACAATAAAAAACAATAGCATGTTTTTTTGGTCACTACCATGACAGGTAAATACCATGGTACTTTTGTTTTTCTTTGTACTATCATGATACATTTTTGTAAGGGTCTTCACAGTCCCCGGTATTCCATTAGGTGTATCTTTATATGTTTTTTAAAATCAGATTTTGAGACTTGCATGAGTTACTTGATGTGGTATAGAGTTTCATGTAGTACTGTGCGCCTCCCATAGTCTTTTCGGGACTTGGGAACTGTGAAGAGACCTCTGGTGGCATGTCTTGTGGGGTATGCATGAGTGTCTGAGCTGTGTGCTAGTAGTTTAAAAACAGACAGCTCCGTGCATTCATTAGTTCTATAGTTGCCATGGTGCCCTAGTAGCAGCCTAAGCACAGAGCTCCTGTAAATGTGTAGATTTTTTGTTGTTTTTAATTGTTGTTTTTTCATGCGCTCTTTTGTTTTTGATAACATTTCCTTTTTATTGTTTGAAAAATGCGTCTGGACACAGTACCATCTTTTTTGTTTCACCTGATCTTTTGAGAACATAATTTGAGGAGTGGCATAAAGCGTGAGACGAATGGGAGATAGAGGAATACAGCAGTGCTGAGTGACAGCAGGACGACTGACTACTATTCTGAACTTTGTGTGGTGAGCTTTCTGGCGCCCAGAGCTGCTGAGGCATCACCCAAGTGGTGCTACACAGAGTGGAAGAGAAGTACAGTGAATTTAAGATTTAGGCTGGTTCCCAGACTTGCCCTCTACAAGATCATCAGCAGACTCCATCAACATCATCTACCATCCTCTGTCCAGCTCTCTCCGCTCAAATCAAATCAAGCTTTATTTCTACAGCACATTTCAGACATGGAATGCAACTCAATGTGCTTCACAGGAAAAAAACTAATAAAAACAATGCAAATATCTCATTACAATGAAATATTTACTACACAACAAACATAAGAGGATAAAAAACTAAAGAATAACAAACACGGAACGACTAAAAAGCACCCTAAGGAAAAGCAAAGCTAAAAAGGTGTGTTTTAATATCTCTTTTAAATGTCCACAGTTTCAGCTCCCCTCAGGTTCTCTGGTAGGCTATTCCAGAGGCTGGGGGCATGGTAACTAAAGGCTGCCTCTCCAACTAAAGGCTTCCTCTCCATGCCTCAGTTCAAGTCATGAACTGACCCTCTCCATCTTCGGAGGATGCAGCTTTCAAAGACTTGGCCACTACTGGTTGACCCGTCATTATATATTGCTTGTTTGTTTTGTTTTCACTTGAAGCGCTTTGAGATTCTACAAAATGCGCTATAGAAATGTAATAAATTATTATTATTATTCAACATGTCAATACTTTTCACAAATACAAGTAAAGATGAAGTCAATCTCTCCTTTGAGAGCTAAGCGTTCCTCAGCTATGCTGTAGCAAGTGTTATTCTACTTACTTACCAAGCTATTCAAACAATTCCCAAATAAATGTCCTGATATCTAATACATTGCAAGGATTTATCGAGTTAAAAATGTGTAATGGGCTTGTGGACAGCTAGCTCTCAAACTGTAGGCGGCATTCTGCCTTCTACCAACAGTTCTCAGCCAGCTTCGCAGACGACTGCCTCGTGTGAACTACAATCCCCACTCTGTGTTTTAACGTTTCGAAACGTCAATAATCAGCGAGAAAGAATCCTTCAAATAAAAAAGATACACTTACGGTTGCAGTTTTGCACAGATCCATACAGCTATGGGTGCCTCCATCCAACGAAACTACACTTCCGCTACACCAGAGTTAAGATTACACACAGGTGTTCGGGACATTCTAGATAGCTAATTAGCACAGCTGGTCTCCTCTTGTCTTCCGTCTGTTTTCCGCAAACAAGCGCTGTAACATGGAGATATGGCCGTGCGGGAACACTACCCCTAACCCTTTCAAGGTGTGTATCAATTTAACCTTTTGTTTTTTGAAAATTATTTATCGCTTATCTGAAAGATAAGGTTCCAAAACTGTACCGCCAGCGATGCATGTTCAGACCGAGCGTCGGGGATCTTAACAAACCATCCAGAAGACGCCTTCGTCCAATGACTCTTATGTGTAATGTGATGTAACTGAGAGTCACTCATGATCAAGGGCTAGTTGACAGCTAACTAACTAGTAGCTAGTTAACGTTAGCTGGCTAGCTAGCTGTCATGTTAGTCATTGAATTCCTAGGGGCCCTGCTGTGGTTTAGCGTTATCTTACCTCCTGATAACACCGCCGGACCACTGGCCTGACTGACAGGTATGAAAGGTAAGTTGAAGTTGAACTCCGGTGCCGCAGAAAACAGTAAATTTGCGCTGGAATTCGCCACATTATTGGTTTTCCTATCAGCCATTTTCATCCCAAATTACACGTAGCCAAGCTTATTTTAGTGCCGGAACAGAACAACTTCACAACCCGGATCTCAGACGTAGTTCTCAGGTGGCGTTTGCACAAATTTACTGATCTGTAATACAAGTGATAAGGTCAAGCCAAAGACAGTACAACTATGTGGTCAAGCGTTCCTTGTTGAGTAGGAGCTGATTGTAAACAGCTCGCTGAATCTCCGCAAATTCTTTGCAGTCTTGATGGACCGGTTACGGGAATAAATATGAGGAAGATTCAGTGCTGCCATCTACTGCTGTGGCTGAGGTACTGTAATTTAAAAATAAAAGGCTTACACAATGATTGACATTACTCTCTAGTCGACAGTCAACATTAGTAACATAATACTTATTTAAAATGCAGTAATATTAAATATATTCTCGAAAATATCCCCAAAAGAGACTACGGCGTGAAGTTCTAATATGTAGTGACGCAGTTTTCCTGCCACTGTGAACCACTGAGGTATAACCCAGGCCGGGAGAGCGAGTCGAGTGATAAAGATAATGAGGAATAACTATTGATATTTTCTGTACTTTGTTTAATCGGCCCTCCAAAGGATTTACTGGTAAACAATGACTAAATCTCACGAGTGGATAAACAACCCCTTGAGCGTTGTCGAATGGATGTTTGGTAAGTAAACACATGAGGTGGTGCTAACGAAACAATGTTGGTTCGGGAACTTAGCTAGTCAGCTAGCCACCTCAATAGCAGCTAGCTAACGAGTGCAAGCCACAGTTAGCTAGATAGGCGTTTGAAAACAGCTGATTTCTAGGTAAAAATATCAATAAGGCTTATCAGAGTAAACAAGCGGATCAGACTCGAATGAGTTACTATGAGCTTGCTTACGTGGAACTGCTTTAGTTGTGTTTTGCTTTGTTTTCCAAATGGCTAATTTTCCCTCAACATCGGACACTCTCTAGCGGTTGGAGGACTAAATCACCTCGAGTAACAGTTTTCTTTTCTTATCTACCAAGGTGCATGGTGTACCTCGGCAGACCCTGGCGGACATGTTGAGCGGCCAGGTGACCCATGGTTGTCACAGTGGACCACCCACATTGTTTAAATTCTCTGGTGCAGTACTGTATCTACCGCGCCAGCCATGGGTTCCCCTTTACCAGACAGAGGCTGATGAAATAGGCCAATAAAATACGCAGGTATTTGGTGTTCTATGTGTTTTTGTATGTAGAATGCTACCTGCAAGGCTGGACAATGTGTGTGATGTGGATGTGTAAGGTGATGCCAAAACAAGCATTTTCATCCTGGATGGACAATTACATATTCTCTTCTATTGTAGGTTTCGGCACCCAGGGGAAACAATCCCACCACTGGGGAAGAGGTGGTGGGAAATGTTCAGGAGGAGGCACAAGAACCTGAGCATGAGGAGGCTGGACACCCTGGACAGGGGGAGAGCTGAGTGTGCCACACGTCCGATGATGGACACCTTCTTCACTTCTTATGAGAAGCACTTGGAGGAGAGTGGGTTGAGGGAGAAACTCAGACAAATCTATAACTGCAATGAGTCTGGGTGCCAAGGAGCACATCACAGTGCTGGCCTGCTTCAACGCAGCTGGGGAGGATGTCCCCCCATTTATCATCTACCCCAAGTGTTTCCCCGGTGCCCACTACACACTGGGAACCCCCCCCCCCCCCCCCCCCAAGCCTTGTATGGACGGTCAAACAGTGGCTACATTGATGGGGACCTGTTCAGGAAGTGGTTTCAGCACTTCATTAAGCATGCAGTGAAGGAGCGCCCTTTCTTTCTCCTCTTCGGTGGAAGGGTTTAAGAAGTGTGGCCTCTTCCCTTTTGACCCTTCAGCCATTGAAGGGTCCCGTTTAATGTTGTCTCGGACCCTACCGGGTCCCACCACCGCCTCTCCTGGAACCAGCAGCACTGTGCCGTCCATCAGCACCTCCTCCCCAGTGACCACAAGAGGACCCCGCAGCCCCTGCTCCAGTCCAAGCCCCTGCTCCAGTCCCAGCCCTAGAAGAGCACCCCCTAATAGAGGGGGGGCTGATAGCGAAGGACCTGGGGCACATCCTTACTGTCCTTAAGTATCGGCTAGATCGATACAGAAGACTCCCTGTGGTTGCCACATGCCTCACCGGGGAGGAATACACGCGCCAGTGGCAGGAGAGGGGTGAGAAGGAGAGGGCCGAGGCAGAGGAGAAAGAGCGTTGGGCAGCCCTCAGAACACAGAGGGCACAGGAGAGGGCTGCCATGGATGTGACCATTGACGCCATCGCCTCTGCTGGACCCCCTGCTGGAACCACTCCTGACAGCTGCATCACCACTGCCAGTGCCTCCCAGTGTGCAACACCTGTAGGAGCCGCCAGAGTCCTCAGCTGCAGAAGAAGGCAGACTCTCCCGGCCACACCATCGTCGGCCCCTCAATCCCACCATTAAAAACACCAGCTCCTCCAAGCCATCGTCAGCGGTTTTGTCCACCACCACCACGATGCACACCACCCCCCATGTCTGTCACCACCAACACGGCCTCCTCTTGACCAACTGCCTCCTCCGTCTCCCCTGGTCACACCACCATAGCAGCCTCATCTGGTGTCCCTGCCCCCTGCAATTTGAATACAGCCACCTCCACAGGTAAACACGTTAAATTACAAAAAAATGACTTCTCTTTTTTATAAAACACCAATGTAAAAAATAAAAGAATAATCTCTCTTTACATATCTACAGTCCATAGCACCAGCCCTCAAGTCATCTCCACCTCCTCCAAAACCTCTGCAGCTTCCTCCAGAGGTATTGATGTAGAAAAGGGTTTTGATGAAACATGCTCAGTCTAACACTACTTTTTCTCAAACTGCAGCACAGAAAAGGAAGAGAAAAGCTCCACCGGTCACGTCTGTGTTCATATGAAATTATTTATTTGTACAAAAAAATTTCTAAAATATAACATATATTTATTGAACCCATCTTGTGTATTTCTTCCTTTACTTTCCAAGTGCATCTCTGCAACACAAACTCCAAGAGTGTTTTCATTGTTTATGTCAATGCACATTACTGAAATTAAAGTTTTATTTGATGTAAATTATTAATACTCATATTTTAGTATTCAACTGTTATCTACTTTATCAAAACATAAGATTAATCTGTAAAACAAATGATGAGACATTATTTGTTTACAACACTGAATATGTTGGTGAAGAACCATTTTTTAAGAGTCCACAGGAGGGCGCACCGGGCTACGCAATGAAAAGTTGACAGGCAAGTCATAATTTTTTGCCGGAAGGCTAGCCAACTAGTCAGCCTTCTAGTAAACACTTCGGGTACGTGGTTAGTGTCTCTTTGAACAAAATTAAACAGATATATCTTGTAATTGAACAAAATGGTAAGATGGCCAATAACTGGGGGCCGTATGCCGATAATACGGGACGTATTTTTATGCTAAACCGCTTATCAAAAAGCAGATAGTAGTATTTCCACTGAAATGTCGAACTTGCTAATTTCTAACCCGTTAGCTGACATTTTTACGACACCAATAATCACATAACATTGATGGCTTGATCACAAGATAACACTGTTGAAGGTAATATATTTCTGAAACGCTGTTGAATATGCCGATAATATGGGGTTCCACTACACTAAGACCTCTCACTCTTCCATTCCAATGGTACAGTAGCAGCTGCGGAATGCACTATATTACACTGACACCTGCTGTCAGTGTTGTCTGTGTAGACATTTGCCTGCATGGGCATCTGCTGAGGAGACTGACCGAAATTATGATGTTTAAAATAAATATATTTCACCTAGCCCTGTGAAAACAATCCGTTTTTAGTTCTTGTTTTGTAGATGGTACATAGTCAATGTACTTGTTGGAAGTACATAGTCAATGTACTTGTTGGAAGTGCATAGTCAATTTACTGTCATTGTTGGTCCATGGGAAAAAGCTATTCCAATCTTGTTCGCTATTCCTCCAGTCATTTGGTGTCTGTCTTGACAATTCTCAGGTGTTGAGATGTGGGAAGTACAAAGACGTCACAGAATGCGGGGTAAGTTCGTCTCTAAAATGTTCTAAGCTCAGCAGCAACCATAGTTTCAAAGATGTGTATCTAATATATTAGGCCTTTCCATGGAAGTCAGGGCACATCATTTTGACACGGAGTAAGTGTAACCGACGTCAGTGTGCTGCTAACAGTTCCTCCACTGTCCCTGTCCCCATACTGGGCTCCAACCAGTAATCATCTGCTTCGCAACACAAGTGACCACCCTCCTTGACAACATGCAAATGAGATGAGCTATACAAAAGGTACCAATTGAATAGCTCCACACCGCAACATTTCAAGCTAGCTGTGGAGTGCGCTTACAGCACATTCTTAACTCCGTTACACTCACCCCTTATAAACTCGCTACACAGCGCGCTACTCCGGCCGTTGAGCTGAGGCCAACTGCCGATCCAGGTCTAACGGCACCAGTGTAACCGACATCAGTGTGCTGCTAATAGTTTAGCTTCCTCCACTGTCCCTGTCCCCATACCGGACTTGAACCAGTGATCCTCTGTTTCGCAACACACGTGACCACCCTCCTTGGCAACATGCAAACGGATTGAGATATACAAAAGGTACCAATTTAATAGCGCCATTGGCGTCATTTCAAGCTAGCTGTGGAGTGAGCTTGCATCACGTTCTTAACTCCGTTACGTGGGCAAGCAAGTGAACGAAATGATAGTGTTTTAAGATTTACATTCACATGACTGATCTTGATTACCTGTGTTCATCTTCAGATGAATTTGAACTCCAGAAACACTGTGACTGCGGAGAGACATACCTTCTATTGTGTCCCTATTCCAGGAGAGAGCCCTTGGGCTAAAGAGATATAATTTCCATCTGCTGTGGTATATATTCAACAAAGCACTTTTATTTGTCTGTTTGTCAAAAGATAAAGGACTTATCCTCCTGACGTTTGGTCAAAAATGGGCTTTGAGTCTATGAATATGATTATGCAGTATGCCCTGTGATATATTGTCCATATTCTTTATTTGTTGCATTTGAATGAGTGCACAGTGGTCTAATGCACTGCATCGCACTAGAGATCCTGGTTCGAATCCAGGCTCTGTCGTAGCCGGCCGCGACCGGGAGACCCATGGGGCGGCGCACAATTGGCCCAGTGTTGTCCAGGGTAGGGGAGGGAATGGCCGGCAGGGATGTTGCTCAGTTGGTAGAGCATGGTGTTTGCAACGCCAGGGTTGTCAGAAGCAGAGAGAACCACACACAGGTGGATACACAATCCTTAAACATGCATCCAAGTAAAGGATTAGTCCTGTGTCATGTTCATTAGGGCACAGCGTAGCAAAACCTTTAAAGGGTAGGTAGCATAAATGTAACCACATGTAACATATGGATTTGCATTAGTATACACATCAAAAGTCCCAATGCAAAGTTACACCTCACTTTTTTATTACATAAAACCGATCAGAATGCCGACATCAGCTCGGAAAATGATTTTTTCGGTATGTGATGTAATATGGAGGACCTGGCCAGCCTATTCCCTATAATGTAAACTCCAACAGAAATAACTTCAAATGTATAACTTCAAATAAAACCAAATCTTTTGCAACTTACAAGCAAATACTTTATGAATTTGTTACAAATCAACTTGCAAGGTTGCTAGCCAACTATCCTGCTAACGTTAGCCCTGCCAGTCAGGCTAATGTAACGTTAGTAGGCTGGTAGGGATAATGTTAGCAGGCTAGTAGAGCTAACGTTAGCAGGCTAATTGGCTAGCAACCTTGCAAGTTGAGTTGTACGTAGTTGCCATCAACACCTAGCTTACAGCTACATTCAAGTAAACCAACGTTTTTGAAATGCATAACGCCATCTAACCAAATATCAAAGAATGTTAGCTATATACATTTATCTTAGCCAGCCAGCTAACGTTAGCTATACCAACTAACGTTAGCTATTTGCCTAGACAACCAGCACGGCTATGGTTGGCATGCTAGAGCCCAACTACTGGAGACCAGTTAGAACACAACTAACACAACTAAAACATAACCACAGATCAAATGAGCAGAGACTTACAGATTGAAGGCTGGGGCCCATCCGATGGCTATAGCGAGTAATCCAAAATGGATAGATGTCAGTCAGCTAGCGCACTAGCACTAAGCCAAGGTGGAAAAAGTTACAAAAAACTGGGCTAGCCTACTTGAACATGCAAAAAAAAAAAAGACCACATCCTTCACTGGCTTCATCAATAAGTGCATCGACGACATCGTCCCCACAGTACAGGCAACATCTGCACTGAGCTAAAGGCTAGAGCTGCCACTTTCAAGGAACAGGACACTAATCCAGACGCTTAGAAGAAATCCTGCTATGCTCTCCAACGAACCATCAAACAGTCAAAGTGTCAATACAGGACTAAGATTGAATCCTACTACACCGGCTCTGACGCTCGTCGGATGTGGCAGGGCTTGCAAACTATAACAGATTACAAAGGGAAACCCAGCCGCGAGCTGCCCAGTGACGCGAGCCTACCAGACGAGCTAAATGCCTTCTATGCTCGCATCGAGGCAAGCATCACTGAAGCATGCATGAGAGCACCAGCTGTTTTGGACGACTGTGTGATCACGCCCTTCGTAGCCGATCGTAGTAAGACCTTTAAATAGGTCAACATTCACAAGGCCGTAGGGCCAGACGGATTACCAGGACGCGTACTCCGAGCATGCGCTGACCAACTGGCAAGTGTCTTCACTGACATTTTCAACCACTCCCTGACCAAGTCTGTAATACCTACATGTTTCAAGCAGACCACCATATTCGCTGTGCCCAAGAACGCCAAGGTAACCTGCCTAAATGACTACCACCCCGTAGCACTCATGTCTGTAGCCATGAAATGATTTTAAAGGCTGGTCATGGCTCACCTCAGCACCATCATCCCAGAAACCCTAGACCCACTACAATTCGCATACCGCCCCAACAGACGAGATGATTTTCTCTTTCATTTTGAGCCCATGGCAAGAAGGCACCAGAGCCTGCAGTGCTAACGGGTTCCTGTGAAGAGCATGAGGTGTGGCTAACGTTAGCCAGCTTGAGCTAGTTACCGAGCTAGAATATGAACTAGGTAACAAAAGTAGATACTCCATATGATGTTGAGAACATAGTGCATTGTGGGTAGTTCCGAAGATATCCGGAAATAAGTTAATAAATATGTAAAAACATAATTATGTTTGTAGTTATAGGTAACCAGATCGTGACTACAACTAAGTTACTAAGTCTTTGACCACACTGTGCTGATACTTTGGTGAGTAAAAATGTATGCTTCCTACCCTTTAAAAACAATATGCGGCCTCACGAGTGGCACAGCGGTCTAAGGCACTGCATCGCAGTGTTGCGGCATCACTACAACCTGGGGTTCGATCCCAGGCTGTCTCACAACCGGCCATGACCGGGAGTCCCATAGGGCGGCGCACAATTGGCCCAGTGTCATCCGGGTTAGGGTAGGGTTTGGCCGGGGGGCTTTACTTTGCTCACCGCGCTCTAGCGACTCATTGTGGCGGGCCGGGCACCTGCAAGCTGACTTCGGTCGTTAGTTGAAAGGTGTTTCCTCCAACACATTGGTGCAGCTGGCTTCCGGGTTAAGCGAGCGGTTGTTAAGATGCAGCACGGCGGGTCATGTTTCGGAGGACACAAGACTCGACCTTCACCTCTCCTGAGCCCGTTGGGGAGTTGCAGCGATGAGATAAGATCGCAATTGGATATCACGAAATTGGGGAGAAAAAGGGGGTAAAAAATAAATAATCTATAAACATATGCAATGGAAAAGGAAAATGTCGGTTTCTTATTGGACAAGTTCAGATAGTACCTCCCCGTTTTGGACTGTTTTCTTTCGTATCAGGCTTAGTGAACACGACCCTTGCTTGTAGAAGACTGTTTTAACAGTATTACCAACCGTTACCAACTGTATCAGAGGACTGGCCTATTTCTGTGTCAGAATATTAAAGTGATTCCAAAGATCCCACTTTGGCACTCACCAGGTCTATGAGGACTTGGACTGCTTCAAATTGAACGACACCCTGGAGGTCTATGGGATTATCTCCGTCAACCCAGTCCTGAGTTTGCTGGGTGAAGAAAAGTAAGGCGCTTGAGTTTGTTTTAAATAAGGTTAATTTCATTTTAGGTGTGTGTGAGTGTGTCCGAATTGCTCACATCATTGTGTATCCACACAGAGACCCCACAGAGAGAATGGCGACTCCAGAGGAACAGAGAGCCCACGACCCCCCTGCTTCACTAGTGCCCCGTCTCCACATGCTCTGCCCCCTGCAACACAACAACCCTCTACTGCCCTCTACTCCCACGGAGGACCAAAGCGCCTGTAAGACTAGTACACATCACAATATACATGTACTTGTATTCACTGAGGGCAGTGCAAGTTTCCCACTGACATCAATTAATGATTTACACCAAAGTCTGAGTTGTGCACACTTATCTCAACTCTGAATTTGGCCCTGGGTGTATGCTTTCTGAAACAAATTGTGTCTCACCTTTTCAGTTGTATCCTCTTTTCTGGTTGAGATGGCATCTGTAAAGGCAGAGCTGCTTGCTTACCTCACTCATGTTCTTCTGGGAGACGGACTGGCTGCTGAGTACCTCATACTGCACCTCATCTCTAATGTGTATGTGTGCACTCCATACACAGACGGATGGTTTCCAAAACCCAGATTAAGCCTAGTCCTGAACTAAAACCTTCAATGGAGGCAATCCATTGAGAATTATTTTTAATCCAATAATAGGCTTGATCTGGGTCCTGGAAACCGGGACTGTTATGTGGGCAGCTTGTCTCTCCCTTTTCTGTTTCCCTTCCTCCTTGTTTTGTCCCCTCTTTTTCTGTTGTATGTGTGTTTGTCCCCTTTATGTGGGTGTGTCTGGAGTGGAGCAGGGGGCGTGCTCAGGATCTGCCTCTCCTGTGCAGCTGCGGGTTGTTTCCAGTGATTCCTGCCTACGCAGCTGCATCCTATTCTCTCATCAACCTGCACTACTTATTCCCGGGCATGGCTCTCCACCGGCGCCAGATCGTTGTTCTTACCAGAGCGGTAACTTGGCTCACCAGTAAAGTTATTTTGTCTTTGTCTTCAGCCTGGCTCTCCACTCTCCTTAACCTGTCGTTTGTTTTGTCTTCAGTTCAGACATACCTCCCAACCTGCCTGCCTTCCTGCCTGTCGGTCTGCCTGCCTGCCTGCCTGCCTGCCTGCCTCAGCCTCTCCTTCCTCCGGAGCCGACTAGCCCACTCTGTTCCTTTACTTCAGTTGTTTTTGGACTAAGACAATTTGAACTTTTATTAAAATATTTTTGTTTCTTCCACTCCCTTTGTCGTGTTGGTTTCTCTGAGTGCTGGGTTGAACCATAGCCATAACAGAACGATCTGGCCTCTGCCACCGGTCTTTCACCCTTCGAGGTTACCATGGGTTATCAACCCCCTCTGTTTCCTGCTCAGGAGAAGGAATTGGCTGTTCCTTCGGTTCAGGAGAACCTCCGCCGCTGCCAGAGAGTGTGGAGCGACGCTCGGGAAGCATTGCTTCGGACCACCGACAGGAACAAGACAACAGCGGATAGGAGCAGGACTCCCGCACCTGTGTTTCATCCTGGTCAAGAGGTTTGGCTGTCATCTAAGAACGTACCTCTTCGTACCAAATCACGCAAGCTGTCTCCTCGGTACCTGGGTCCGTTTGTGGTGGAGTCCATTATTAACCCCGCTGCGGTTCGTTTGAAGTTGCCTTCAGCCATGAAGATACACCCTACCTTCCACGTCTCCCAACTGAAACCTGTGTCCTCCAGCCTTTTGTGTCCGCCGGCTGATCCACCTCCACCTGTTCGCCTCATTGACGACCATCCGGCCTACACCGTCAGTAGGCTCCTGGACTCTCGGAGGCGGGGTAGGGGTCTCCAATACCTAGTCGATTGGGAAGGTTATGGACCAGAGGAGAGGTCTTGGGTCCCTAAGCGTTTTGTGTTGGATCCTCAGCTGATCACGGACTTCCATCACGACAACCCTGACAGGCCTGGTGGGTCGCCAGGTGGCGACCATTGAGGGGGGGGTACTGTTATGTGGGCAGCTTGTCTCTCCCTTTTCTGTTTCCCTTCCTCCTTGTTTTGTCCCCTCTTTTTCTGTTGTATGTGTGTTTGTCCCCTTTATGTGGGTGTGTCTGGAGTGGAGCAGGGGGCGTGCTCAGGATCTGCCTCTCCTGTGCAGCTGCGGACTCCAAGTGGAACAATGTGGCACTTCAAGGAGCATTTCTAAACGGTTTGAATGAAGCCATTAAGGATGAACTGGCTGCTCGTGATGAGCCACATGATTTACATTCTCTCGTTTCCCTGTCCATCAAGCTAGACAATCGGTTGCGGGAGAGGCGTCGGGAGAGAGGCGATCGGCCACATCTAGGAGGACGAGTTCCCCAGCCTCCAACCACTCGAGTCTCGCCTCTCCGGAGTCGGCAGCTTCTTGTTCCTGATTCCATCCCGAGCACAGAGGAGGAACCTATGCAAGTGGGTCGAGCTCGACTACCTCCAGCTGAGCGGCAACGGCGCCTCCAGGCGGGTGAGTGCCTGTACTGTGGAGACGCCACACACATTCTGGCTACATGCCCTAAGCGGCCAAAAGACAAGGCTCGCTCGTAACGGTGGGTCTACTTGCGAGCCCAGAGTTAGATCCTGAACCCATCATTCCCCGATTACAAGTACCTGTAACCTTACGTTTCCAGAGTCATTCCCTGCCACTCTCAGCTCTCATAGACTCAGGTGCAGAAGATAACTTTATTAGTCACCAGTTCGTTACACAAGCTCGTATCCCCATGGAGCCACTACCTACCCCCATCCGGGTCACAGCCCTTGATGGGCGCCTCCTCGCGGAGATAACTCATCAAACCACCCCCGTTTCCCTAGTGATTTCTGGCAATCATTGTGAAAGCATTCAGCTAAGAGTTATGTCTGGCTCAGCTACCTCCCTAATCCTTGGCTTCCCCTGGTTGGCTCTTCACAACCCACAAATTGATTGGACACGTCACACCATTTTCAGTTGGAGCACTAACTGCCATTCCGAGTGCCTGAGGTCAGCGGTTCCCCCCACTAAGTGTAACCCAACTCCTCCCTCAGCTCCTCTTGATCTGTCATCTGTCCCCAAAGAATACCATGACTTAGCGGAGGTTTTCAGTAAGGACAAGGCTCTGTCTCTACCACCACATAGGCCTTATGATTGCCCTATTGAACTGCTTCCTGGTGCTCCCTTGCCCTCTAGTCGGTTATACAATCTGTCCCGACCGGAAAGAGAGGCAATGGAGCAGTACATTGGTGATTCTCTGGTCTCGGGCATAATCCGTCCCTCGTCGTCTCCTTTGGGTGCAGGTTTCTTTTTCGTGAAAAAGAAGGACAAGTCGTTACGCCCCTGTATCGATTTCAGGGGTTTAAACAACATAACTGTTAAAAACAAGTATCCCCTTCCACTCATCAACTCAGCTTTTGAACCTCTGCATGGCGCCACAGTGTTTTCCAAGCTCGACCTCAGGAATGCTTATCACCTTGTCCGAATCCGAAAGGGAGATGAGTGGAAAACCGCTTTCAACACTCCACTGGGACATTTTGAGTATTTGGTCATGCCCTTTGGGCTTTCAAATGCCCCTGCGGTTTTCCAAGCCATGGTGAACGATGTTCTTAGGGATTTTTTGAACCGTTTTGTCTTTGTATACCTGGATGATATTCTTGTTTTTTCCAAGTCACCCGAGGAGCATGAGTCACACGTCCGTCAAGTCCTTCAACGGCTCTTGGAGAACAAGCTGTACGTCAAAGCAGAGAAGTGTGAGTTCCACAAACAGTCTACATCGTTCCTTGGATTCATAATTGAGAGCGGGCAGGTGAAGGCGGACCCCGAGAAGATCCGGGCAGTGACGGAATGGCCCACACCCACCACCCGTAAGCAACTTCAACGATTTTTGGGCTTTGCTAACTTCTACCGTAGATTCATTAAGGGTTTTAGTAGAGTGGTGGCACCCCTTACAAGACTCACATCTCCTAAAGTCCCTTTTCGGTGGTCCCCTGAGGCGGAGCAGGCGGTAGGGGTTTTGAAGGAACTGTTTTCCACCTCCCCCGTGTTGATACACCCCAATACCTCTCTGCAGTTTGTTGTGGAGGTGGACGCGTCGGACTCAGGTGTGGGAGCAGTCCTCTCCCAGCGCTCCCCCACTGACCAAAGGCTTCACCCCTGTGCTTTCTTCTCCAAGAAATTGTCACCCACAGAACGGAATTACGACGTTGGAAACCGGGAACTGCTGGCGGTCAAGCTTGCACTGGAAGAATGGCGGCACTGGCTGGATGGAGCTGAATTGCCGTTTGTGGTCTGGACTGACCACAAAAACTTGGCTTACATCCAAGCCACTAAGAGACTCAACTCACGCCAAGCCAGATGGGCCCTGTTTTTTAGTAGGTTTAACTTTATTCTTACATACAGACCGGGGTCAAGAAATGTTAAACCAGATGCTTTGTCCCGCCAGTTTGCTGACCCTTCGGAGACCAGCGAGCCTGAGGCAGTCCTGCCTTCCTCATGCGTCGTGGCGGCTGTTCAGTGGGAGATCGAGTCTCTTGTGAAGACTGCACTTGCCACGGACCCGGGACCGGGTGATGGACCTCCCAACCTACTCTTTGTTCCCGAGACGGTCCGGTCTCAGGTGTTGCAGTGGATTCACACCTCCCGTTTTGCTGGTCACCCTGGGATGAGACGCACGTTGACGCTGCTTAGGAGACATTTTTGGTGGCCTTCAATGGAAACTGACGTTCGGGCTTTTGTGGCAGCCTGTTCAACCTGTGCTCGGGGCAAAGCCTCCCATCAGTCCCCTTCGGGGCTGCTGCTACCCCTCCCAGTTCCCAGCCGTCCCTGGTCCCACATTGCCATGGATTTTGTCACCGGCCTACCCAAGTCTGAAGGTAATGATACTATACTTACCATTGTGGACAGATTCTCTAAATCTGTCCACTATATAGCATTACCAAAATTACCGTCTGCCAGTGAGACAGCGGACCTCCTAGTCCAACATGTATTCCGTCCCCATGGAATACCTGTGGACATCGTATCTGATAGAGGCCCACAGTTTACTTCCCGTGTTTGGAAGGGTTTCTGTTCTGCTTTGGGTGCTTCCGTTAGTCTGTCCTCAGGGTTTCATCCCCAGACCAACGGTCAAACAGAAAGAGCCAATCAAAACCTCGAAGCAACCCTTCGGTGTGTGGCTGCTCAACATCCATCATCCTGGGCTAAACATCTGCCCTGGATAGAGTACGCCCACAACTCCCTCACCGCCTCTGCCACCGGTCTTTCACCCTTCGAGGTTACCATGGGTTATCAACCCCCTCTGTTTCCTGCTCAGGAGAAGGAATTGGCTGTTCCTTCGGTTCAGGAGAACCTCCGCCGCTGCCAGAGAGTGTGGAGCGACGCTCGGGAAGCATTGCTTCGGACCACCGACAGGAACAAGACAACAGCGGATAGGAGCAGGACTCCCGCACCTGTGTTTCATCCTGGTCAAGAGGTTTGGCTGTCATCTAAGAACGTACCTCTTCGTACCAAATCACGCAAGCTGTCTCCTCGGTACCTGGGTCCGTTTGTGGTGGAGTCCATTATTAACCCCGCTGCGGTTCGTTTGAAGTTGCCTTCAGCCATGAAGATACACCCTACCTTCCACGTCTCCCAACTGAAACCTGTGTCCTCCAGCCTTTTGTGTCCGCCGGCTGATCCACCTCCACCTGTTCGCCTCATTGACGACCATCCGGCCTACACCGTCAGTAGGCTCCTGGACTCTCGGAGGCGGGGTAGGGGTCTCCAATACCTAGTCGATTGGGAAGGTTATGGACCAGAGGAGAGGTCTTGGGTCCCTAAGCGTTTTGTGTTGGATCCTCAGCTGATCACGGACTTCCATCACGACAACCCTGACAGGCCTGGTGGGTCGCCAGGTGGCGACCATTGAGGGGGGGGTACTGTTATGTGGGCAGCTTGTCTCTCCCTTTTCTGTTTCCCTTCCTCCTTGTTTTGTCCCCTCTTTTTCTGTTGTATGTGTGTTTGTCCCCTTTATGTGGGTGTGTCTGGAGTGGAGCAGGGGGCGTGCTCAGGATCTGCCTCTCCTGTGCAGCTGCGGGTTGTTTCCAGTGATTCCTGCCTACGCAGCTGCATCCTATTCTCTCATCAACCTGCACTACTTATTCCCGGGCATGGCTCTCCACCGGCGCCAGATCGTTGTTCTTACCAGAGCGGTAACTTGGCTCACCAGTAAAGTTATTTTGTCTTTGTCTTCAGCCTGGCTCTCCACTCTCCTTAACCTGTCGTTTGTTTTGTCTTCAGTTCAGACATACCTCCCAACCTGCCTGCCTTCCTGCCTGTCGGTCTGCCTGCCTGCCTGCCTGCCTGCCTGCCTCAGCCTCTCCTTCCTCCGGAGCCGACTAGCCCACTCTGTTCCTTTACTTCAGTTGTTTTTGGACTAAGACAATTTGAACTTTTATTAAAATATTTTTGTTTCTTCCACTCCCTTTGTCGTGTTGGTTTCTCTGAGTGCTGGGTTGAACCATAGCCATAACAGGGACAGAAATAAATTATGTATATTATGTTCTTACTATATTTACAATGCATTCGGAAAGTATTCAGACCACTTAACTTTTCCCACATTTTGTTACATTACAGCCTTATTCTGAAATTGATTAAATAAAAATGTTCCTCATCAATCTACACACAATACCCCATAATGATAAAGCGAAAACAGATTTTTTGAAATGTTTGCAAATGTAAATTCAGAACAGAAATACCTTATTAATATACACCTACTCATTCAAGGGTTTTTCTTTATTTTTACTATTTTTTACATTGTAGAATAATAGTGAAGACCTCAAAACTATGAAATAACACCCAAAAAGTGTTAAACAAATCAAAATATATTTTATATTGGAGATTCTTCAAATAGCCACCCTTTGCCTTGATGACAGCTTTGCACACTCTTGGCATTCTCTCAACCAGCTTCATGAGGTAGTCACCTGGAATGCATTTTAATTAACAGGTGTGCCTTCTTAAAAGTTAATTTGTGGAATTTATTTCCTCCTTAATGCGTTTGAGCCAATCAGTTGTGTTGTGACAAGGTAGGGGGGGTATACAGAAGATAGCCCTATTTGGTAAAAGACCAAGTCCATATTATGGCAAGAACAGCTCAAATAAGCAAAGAGAAACGACAGTCCATCATTACTTTAAGACATGAAGGTCAGTCAATACGGAACATTTCATGAACTTTGGAAGTTTCTTCAAGTGCAGACGCAAAAACCATCAAGCGCTATGATGAAACTGGCTCTCATGAAGACCTCTGCAGGAAAGGAAGACCCAGAGTTACCTCTGCTCCAGAGGATAAGTTCATTAGAGTTACCAGCCTCAGAAATTGCAGCCCAAATAAATGCTCACAGAGTTCAAGTAACAGACACATCTCAACATCAACTCTTCAGAGGGGACTGTGTGAATCAGGCCTTTATGTTCGAATTGCTGCAAAGAAAACACTACTAAAGGACACCGATAAGAAAAAGAGCCCTGCTTGGGCCAAGAAACACGAGCAATGGACAATTTGAGATTTTTGGTTCCAACTGCCGTGTCTTTGTGAGATGCGGTGTGGGTGAACGGATGATCTCTGCATGTGTAGTTCCCACCGTGAAGGATGGAGGACGCGGTGTTATGGTGTGGGAGTGCTTTGCTGGTGACACTGTCCGTGATTTATTTAGAATTCAAGGCACACTTAACCATCATGGCTACCACAGCATTCTGCAGCGATACGCCATCCCATCTGGTTTGCGCTTAGTGTGACTATCATTTGTTTTTCAACAGGCCAATGACCCAACACACCTCCAGGCTGTGTAAGGGCTATTTGACCAAGAAGGAGAGTGATGGAGTGCTGCATCAGATGACCTGGCCTCCACAATCCCCTGACCTCAACCCAATTGAGATGGTTTGGGATGAGTCGGACCGCAGAGTGAAGGAAAAGCAGCCAACAAGTGCTCAGCATATGTGGGAACTCCTTCAAGACTGTTGGAAAATCATTCCAGGTGAAGCTGGTTGAGAGAATGCCAAGAGTGTGCAAAGCTGTCATCAAGGCAAAGGGTGGCTATTTGAAGAATCTCAAATCTAAAATATATTTTGATTTATTTAACACTTTTTTTTGGTTACTACATGATTCCATGCGTGTTATTTCATAGTTTTGATGTCTTCACTATTATTCTACAATGTAGAAAATAGTAAAAATAAAGAAAAACCCTTGAATAAGTAGGTGTGTCCAAACTTTGACTGTAAGTATTCAGACCCTTTGCTAGTTGCATCCTGTTTCCATTGATAATCCTTGAGGTGTTTCTACAACTTGATTGGAGTCCACCTATGGTAAATTAATTTGATTGGACATGATTTGGAAAGGCACACGTCAGCAAAAACCAATCCATGAGGTCGAAGGAATTGTCCGTAGAGCTCCAAGACAGGATTGTGTCGAGGCATAGATCTGGGGAAGCGTACCAAAATATGTGTGCAGCATTGAAGGTCCCAAAGAACATTGTGGCCTCCATCATTCTTAAATGGAAGAAGTTTGGAACCACCAAGGGAGGTGACCAAGAACCCGATGGTCACTCTGACAGAGCTCCATGGTTCCTCTGTGGAGATGGGATAACCTTTTCAGAACGAAAACCATCTTTGCAGCACTCCACCAATCAGACCTTTATGGTAGAGTGGCCAGACGGAAACCACTCCTCAGTAAAAGGCACATCACAACCCGCTTGGAGTTTGCCAAAAGGCACTTAAAGTACTCTGACCATGAGAAACAAGATTCTCTGGTCTGATGAAACCAAGATTGAACTCTTTGGCCTGAATGCCAAGCATCACGTATGGAGGAAACCTGGCACCATCCCTACGGTGAAGCATGGTGGTGGCATCATCATGCTGTCGGGATGTTTTTTAGTGGCAGGGACTGGGAGACAGGGCAGGATCGAGGGAAATATGAACAGAGCAAAGTACAGAGAGATCCTTGATGAAAAGCTGCTCCAGAGCACTCAGGACCACAGACTGGGGCTAAGGTTCAACTTCCAACAGGACAATGACAGATGTCCTGCCTCTGGGTAAATTCACCCTGAACCGGAGTGTCTGTCCGCTCAACTCCTCATACACAGAGCGACTCTATCAGATCATCCAACAGATGGTGCCTTGTGTGAGTTAATATATTGTATCATGCTCCATATCAAATCAAAACTGAGTTGACTTATTTGAGATTTGATTTGAGGGGTAACAGCATATTTGGGTGCCACTTTAGTAATTGAGATGAAAATTCTATAGAACACTAATATGCAACTCTGGCCTGCAGGACAGTTTCTTCATTGTCATGACAAAATTAATTTTGCCCTCCACTTAAGGTCAGTATTAGATTTGTTTGTGACAATACTGAAATAATGCATACTTTGAAGATATCTATACTGAACAAAAATATAAACGCAACATGCAACAATTTCAAAGATTCAAAGTTAGTTAATATAAGGAAATCAGTCAATTGAAATGGATTAATTATGCCCTAATCTATGGATTTCACATGACTGGGCAGGGGTGTAGCGATGGGTGGGCGTGGGAGGGGAGCCAGGCCCAGCCAATCAGAATGAGTTTTCCCCACAAAAGGGCTTTTTTACTAACAGAAATACTCCTCAGCACCCCCCTCAGACGATCCCACAGGTGAAGAAGCCGTATGTGGAGGTCCTGGGCTGGCGTGGTTACACGTGGTCTGTGGTTTTGAGGCCGGTTGGATGTACTGCTAAATTCTCTAAAATGACGTTGGAGGCAGCTTATGGTAGAGAAATTAACATAAAATCTCTGGCAACAGCTCTGGTGGACATTTCCGCAGTTAGCATGCCAATTGCACACTCCCTCAACTTGATACATCTGTGGCATTGTGTTGTGTGACAAAACTGCACATTTTAAAGTGGCCTTTTATTGTCTCCAGCAGAAGGTGCACCTGTGTAATGATCATGCTGTTTAATCAGCTTATTGAAATGCTCACTAACAGGGATGTAAACATATTTTTTTCAAAACCCTCTAGAGAAATAAGCTTTTTGTGCGTATGGAACATTTCTGGGATTTTTTATTTCAGCACATGAAACATGGGACCAACACTTTACATGTTGCATTTATATTTTTGTTCAGTGTAGGATAGAGATTAGGGAACCATTGGGCTTGAGAGTAACATTGGGTGTTCCAAATCTGAGTGGAGAGGCTTTGGAGTTTGACAGTTTAATTGAATACATATCCCATAGGGAAATTAGGTTGGAAACATGCATACATGGAATGAATATAATGTATCGCACAACATACATCACAAGACTTGATCGTACAGACAGTATATCAAAGTATGTTAAAGTAACTGTGGTTACTGTTTTTCTTCTCTCCGGTAGTCTTACCGTCTCAGTATGAACAGCCTGCATCTGGTGCCGAAGAAGGACTACGTGGCCAACCGGCTGGTGAGTGGAGCCTTGCAGCTGGCCAGGAACACCTCCCTCTTCCTGGATGAGACGCAGCTGGAGCAGGGTCATCTAAACACCTCAGGGAACTACAGGACACATTGGGGAGCAACTAGGGCCAGAGTTTGACCCTGAGCCACTAGGCCCAGAGACGAGGCCCTGCCCAGAAACAACCTCTAGCCCCAGGATTTGATAGGTGTACACAATGGGGTCATTGCTCCACCTTGCTCTCTGATAGGCTTGGTGGAATTTTAGACATTGCTTATACCTGTCTTATTCGCTCATATCTCCAAGTGGGGGTAGGGACAATGGGTGGTTTCTGGGCGGGCTGAAAGATGTACATTACTGTACTGCAGTGACTGGGAACTAGTTTAAGATACCCACAGAAGTACCTTCAGCTTTTTGTAAAACAGCCATGGTATATTCATTAATTTGGTGTACCAATTGCGGTAGTGCAATGTCATTTAATCCATTGAATAGCCATGCGTTGTGGTAATATGTTAATAGAAATCTGTGTCCTGCTGTAGGTGTGCGGAACATCACAGCTCTGGGGAACCTGATCTCCTGGCAGAAGGTTGATTATGACTTCAACTACCACCAGATGGAATTCCCCTGCAATATTAACGTGCTCGTCACGTCAGAAGGCCGATCGCTGCTGCCGGTGAGGACAGACAAAGAGGTCAAGATTCACACCAGAGGGTGTAGGAGGGGTAGCCCCTGGGTGTGTGTGTCTGCCCGCCCTTGCAGGGGTTAGGTTTCAGCCAGGCTCTCAGGAGGCTGACACTTGTCAAACGCCGTGGGGTTGTTTCCAACCAGCGTCATCAATCTGCCCATTGGTCACCACAGCCCCTAGCAGCGCCATGGTATGGCTTTAGAGCTTGGCTGCACTGTTGCAAATGGCCTAAGGAATGCACTTTGTTATTTGTGTGTGTTGGTCTAATGGAGTTGACATGGCTGCAGCTGTGCCACAGGGACAATCCTGGCCAGAGGTGTCGGGATAGGGCCGTCTTATCAGGCCACACCAACATTTGTATTACACAGTTAAACTCGGTATCATAGTTTCCACCAGGTGAGCCAGTGCTTACCAGAGAGGTTTGAAATCAAGCCACTCAAAAAGACAACTTCTTGCAAGTACCTCAACATATTTGCCACTCATGTGCTGTGTATTTCTAATGCAATCTCTCCTACCATCCTCCTCCCCTCCCACAGTCGGACTGCCAGGTGCCCCTACAGCCCCAGGTGACCCCACCCAACATGGAGGAGTACCTCACTACCATCCACATGGCACAGCTGACATCACAATTAAACAAGTTCCGGGTATACCTGAGTGTGCCGCAAACCCTCGACTACAGCATCTCTGATGAGGTCACCAAGATAAAGGCTGCTTTGGATTGTCTGCTTTCCAAACCTGGCCATTGTTATGAACCTAGATGCCGTGCTGAAAGCAATATTGAATAGTTAAAACAAACACCTTGATTGAGCTTAAATCGTGGTAAGGTATCGGGTTTCAAAACCTGTAATGGTTAGTGTCCACGCCCTCTATTTTCTAAAGAAACTGTACATGTGCCTATTTTTGTTGATTCTTATTCAGTTGCCTTGTTATTGTGTTCCACAGGCAGTTGAGGATTACTTTGTTGACATGCGCAAATATGACCCCCAGTGCGTCACCGCAGAGGACCTGCATAGGATAGTTGTTGTCGCAAGGTGTGTAAAAGTTATGTGAAATGTATTGAGCCATATTTGTCCAGACGTTTGAATTCCGCATAACATCTGTTCTCAAGTTAAGCAGTCATTTTGTGTAGCTAACTGGCATAACGTTTGTCCCAAGGTTCCTCTCCTTAAGTTTGGGACAGGCCACCCTTATGGATGGATGAGAGCCAAGCACATAGACATGCTTCGCAGGAGCAGGACTGAACAACAGAATAGTCTCAATAGCAACGAGCCTTAAACACCAACACCTGCCCGGTATGGGAATAAAAAGATTGTGGAACAAATATTTTTCATTTTGATACCAGAAGAGCTAGTTCTTGAAAAGTTCAACTTAATAAAAGGTATGTAACAAAATAGTTAGTTCTCTTTGTAAAGCACTGGGATTTTCTCATTTTTTGCATCTGTGTTGGGAGATCAGGATAAGCTTTTTATTAATTGTCATATTTGCAATTTCTTGATACAATACAAATCCTGGCAAAAAAAGTAGCAGGACTAATTGTACTGTGGGATGTTCCTCAGTGCTTTGTAGATATAGTTTGCTGCCTTAACCTGCATTGAAATACTGTTTACATGTGGGATTCCCGTCCTGGGAAGTTTGAACTAATACAAAATAATTTGCAAAGCTTATGATTACTTTTCTTCCCTTACTCGAGACCAAATTTTCTAGTTTTTATAACATGTTGTGGATCTGGTATTCAAAGTATATGTAAATAGTGCATTTTGAGATCAGCATTTATATAATACATTTGTCCTCCTTGTATGCCTGATAAAGTTCTTAGGAGTCAGTACATTGATCATGATTTGATGAATGTTCTTCCCAAAATGTCAAGAAATTAATTTATTGCTTATGGGATAAGTTTGTGAATGAGAATTGAAAGGTTTTCTGCACTCGTTTTGTACTCTTATTAAAATATGGTCAGCTTGACATTTACTTTTGGCATCTGGGCTACTATTTTATTAAAGGCCCAGTGCAGTCAAGTGATTTTTTTTTCTCCTGATTTATTTATATATTTCAGTGTGTTTATATATATATATTAATACAACGGGTGGGTCTAATCCTGAATGCTGATTGGTTAAAACCGCATTCCAGCCGGTGTCTATTCCACAAGTTACCACCAGCTAAATCTATGACGTTAAAATGCCTATTTACTCAGTTCCATCTGACTGCGCAATCCATTGTCTTATCAACCCAGTCAGGCGCTTTACAAACTCCACTATAAAAAGCATCTAGGTATTATCTCACGTTTCTTTTAGACTAACATTTAGTTTTCAACAGTGGAGATTTGTATAAACCTTGCTGTCTGTCTCTGACATTTGCAACATTGTTTCAATATTCAAATTCGATATCCTGCTGTCCCTGTGTTGTTGGCTAGCTCCTCTGAACAACAGTGTCCTGACGAGTGAGCACATTATCTATGCCAGGCGAAATCACGCCTCATTAGCTCATTATTAACGAGAAATCTACTTGGCTATTATTCTGGCTGAACTTTTTGACGTGACTAAGGTAGCCGTAGTTGGCTAGCTAGCAAGCAGGGGATAAGAACGTTGCCAGCCAGCATGGCAATGGAACATTTAGAACGAACGACAAGGTCACGTCTATAGATACAGAACAAAAATACTGAACGACTGGGTCGTGTCTCTAGCAACCCTAGATTTGTGTCGGGACTATATCTTGTGGAAGGATGAAATGGTATGAATAAATTAAAACGGTTTGCCTGCCCTCCCAGGGCCTAACAACATCTGTGCCAATATATCCAACAAACACCGGCTTCGAGGGCATTATCACTTTTATACAACGGGTTACCAACATATTCAAATAATGATTTGACATATTTTCATTAAAACGTTATTTTGATTAATTTATTATAAATATATATATATATATATATATATATATATATATATATATATATATATATATATACACACACACACACACACACACACACACTGAAGAAAAATATTAACGCAACATGTAAAGTTGCTTTCATGAGCTGAAATAAAAGTTCCCAGAAATGTTCCATACACACAAAGCTTCTCTCAAATTTTGTGCACAAATTTGTTTACATCCCTGTTATTGAGCATTTCTCCTTTGCCAAGATAATCCATCCACTTCACAGGTGTGGCATATCAAGAAGCTGATTAAACAGTATGATCATTACACAGGTACAGCTTGTGCTGGGGACAATAGAAGGCCACTAAAATGTCCAGTTTTGTGTCACAATGCCGCAGATGTCTCAAGTTGAGGGAGCATTCAATTAGCATGCTGACTGCAAGAATGTCTACCAGCTAATTTAATTTCTCTACCATATGCCACCTCCAACGTCATTTTAGAGAATTTGGCAGTACGTCCAACCAGCCTCACAACCACAGACCACATGTAACCATGCCAGCCCAGGACCTCCACATCCGGCTTCTTCACCTGCCGGATCATCTGACACCAGCCACCTGGACAGCTGATGAAACTGTGGGTTTGCACAACCGAATAATTTCTGCACAAACCGTCAGAAACCATCTCAGGGAAGCTCATCTGCATGCTCGTCGTCCTCACCAGGGTCTTGACCTGACTGCAGTTCGGCGTCGTAACCGACTTCAGTGGGCAAGTGCTCACCTTCGATGGCCACTGGCACGCTGGAGAAGCAGGTGGCAGACAGTGTGTATGGCATCGTGTGGGCAAGCGGTTTGCTGATGTCAACATTGTGAACAGAGTGCCCCTTTTATGGTATGGGCAGGCATAAGCTACAGACAATGATCACAATTGCATTTTTTCGATGGTAATTTGAACGCAAAGACATACCGAGACGAGCTCCTGCGGCCCATTGTCGTGCCATTCATCTGCCGCCATCACCTCATGTTTCAGCATGATAATGCATGGCCCCATGTCGCAAGGATCTGTACACAATTCCTGGAAGCTGAAAATGTCCCAGTTCTTCCATGGCCTGCACACTCAGACATGTCACCCGTTGAGCATGTTTGGGACACTCTGGATCGACGTGTACGATCCAGAGCGTCCCCGCTTGGTCGTGCTGCTGCTCCAGTTTCAACTCTTCTGCCTGCGGCTATGGAACCCTGACCTGTTCACCAGACATGCTACCTTGTCCCAGACCTGCTGTTTTCAACTCTCTCTCTACCGCACCTGCTATTTCAACCTCTAAATGCCCAGCTATGAAAAGCCAAGTGACATTTACTCCTGATGTACTGACCTGTTGCAACCTCTACAACCACTGTGATTATTATTTGACCCTGCTGGTCATCTATGAACGTTTTAACATCTTGGAGAAAAATCTGGCCTTAATGGCCATGTACTGTTATAATCTCCACCCGGCAGAGCCAGAAGGGGACTGGCCATCCCTCAGAGCCTGGTTCCTCTCTAGGTTTCTTCCTAGGTTTCTGCCTTTCTAGGGAGTTTTTCCTAGCCACCGTGCTTCTACATCTGTATTGCTTGCTGTTTGGGGTTTTAGGCTGGGTTTCTGTATAGCAGTTTGTGACATCTGCTGATGTAAAAAGGGCTTTATAAATACATTTCATTGATTGAATTTGATTGACTAATTTCCTTATATGAACTAACTCAGTAAAATCTTAATTTGTTGCGTTTTATTTTTGTTCAGGGTATATTTCCACGCAAGGAAGAGAGGCATGCATGAGAATTACTAGAGGCCGGGTGAGATAAAAACGGCTGCATTGGACCTTTAAGGGACACTCTGGATTAGGTCCCAAATGCATATCCAATATAATATTACACAATTAAAAAGAGCTGGGTGAAAATGTTCATGCTTCAACTCATTAAACAGATGAAGAACAGTTGGACATGTAAAATAATTGTCAATATACAGTACCAGTCAAAAGTTTGGACACACCTACTCATTCAAGGGTTTTTCTTTATTTGTACTATTCTTCAATATTTTTTTTACATTGTAGAATAATAGTGGAGACTATGAAATAACACATATGGAATCATGTAGTAACCAAAAAAAAGTGTTAAATAAATCAAAATATATTTTATATTTGAGATTCTTCAAATAGCCACCCTTTGCCTTGATGACAGCTTTGCACACTCTTGGCATTCTCTCAACCAGCTTCACCTGGAATGATTTTCCAACAGTCTTTAAGGAGTTCCCACATATGCTGAACACTTGTTGGCTGCTTTTCCTTCACTCTGCGGTCCGACTCATCCCAAACCATCTCAATTTGGTTGAGGTCGGGGGATTGTGGAGGCCAGGTCATCTGATGCAGCACTCCATCACTCTCCTTCTTGGTCAAATAGCCCTTACACAGCCTGGAGGTGTGTTGGGTCATTGTCCTGTTGAAAAACAAATGATAGTCCGACTAAGCCCAAACAGATGGGATGGCGTATCGCTGCAGAATGCTGTGGTAGCCATGCTGGTTAAGTGTGCCTTGAATTCTAAATAAATCACAGTGTCACCAGCAAAGCACCCCCACACCATAACACCTCCTCCTCCATGCTTTAAGGTGGGAAATATACATGCAGAGATCATCCGTTCAACCACACCGCATCTCACAAAGACACGGCGGTTGGAACCAAAAATCTCAAATTTGGACTCCAGACCAAAGGACACATTTCCACCGGTCTAATGTCCATTGCTCGTGTTTCTTGGCCCAAGCAGGTCTCTTCTTATTATTAGTGTCCTTTAGTAGTGGTTTCTTTGCTGCAATTCGACCATGAAGGCCTGATTCACACAGTCCCCTCTGAACAATTCATGTTGAGATGTGTCTGTGACTTGAACTCTGTGAAGCATTTATTTGGGCTGCAATTTCTGAGGCTGGTAACTCTAATAAACGTATCCTCTGCAGCAGAGGTAACTGTGGTGGTCCTCATGAGAGCCAGTTTTATCATAGCGCTTGTTGGTTTTTACAACTGCACTTGAAGAAACGTTCAAAGTTAAACCCTTGAATGAGTAGGTGTGTCCAAACTTTTGACTGGTAGTTTATGTCTGCAGATCTTTAATTTACTGAAATTCTTTGAGTGTGTAGCTACAGTATATTTTTCATAGACCCAGGAAAAAGGACTTCTACGGTAGAAACAAGAATAAATATATTTTAATGTTAAATGAAATTTGAGTACAACATAAGAAAATGACAAGTCAGTTGTTTAAGAGAGGTGAAGTACAACCACAGACATGGGATTATAGCTGGAAAATGTGCTTAAATGCTGTGCAATCATGTGTTGAGTCTAGTCACTCACAATGACGAAAATGTAACTTCGTAACCCCGGTTCTATGATAATATGACTGAGATGTCTCACAATTGGTATTCGCTCAGGCAGATTCTCTAATGCAGGGTTTCCCAAGCTCGGTCCTGGGCCCCACCTGGGTGCACGTTTTGGTTTTTGCCAAAATGATCCCATGTTCCATGAGCTGAAATAAAAGATCCCAGAAACCAATACGCACAAAAAGCTTATTCATTAACATTTTGTGCACAAATTTGTTTACATCCCTGTTAGTGAGCATTTCTCCTTAGCCAAGATAATCCATCCACCTGACAGGTATGGCATATCAAGAAGCTGATTAAACAGCACGAGGCCTATGCCCTCCCAGGCCCACCAATGGCTGCGCCCCTGCCCAGTCATGTGAAATCCATAGATTAGGGCCTAATACATTTTTAAATTGACTGATTTCCTTATATGAACTTTAACTCTGTAGAATTGTTGCATGTTGTGTTTATATTTCTGTTCAGTATAGATGTGCAAAGCGCGTACTGGACACAAATTGTGGAGACGCTCTTCCGTAGAAGTGAAGGGCAACGGGTGGAAAGCCATAAGCTCCAAGACTAGACAATTGTAATTGCCGCTGACCTTAGGCATGAAAGCGGGGTTGGGTGACAGTGTTACCTTGGATAACCCTGGGGCAAACTGTAGGCATTAATGTTGACCTGACAGTGCATGCAGCTCACTCACTCGTTTTGCCCAATGCTAGGGCAATCAGAAAAGCGGTTTTGAAGGAGAGATATTTCATCTCCACACTTTCCAGCAGCTGCTGGGAAAGGCTGCTGGGAAATTGCTTCAAGCACAATAGAAAAGTCCCAAGACTGAGTTAAAGGCTTGGAGATGGCGTAAACAACGCACTCTCTTCATAAAACATAACAGAGGGCATTTCCCTACTGTGTGGTTGTCAAAGTCTATATGACAGGCAGAGATAACGGCTAAATAGACCTCAACAGTGGATAATGCCTTCCCTCTGTCTAAACATTCCTGCAAGAAGCATAAAACCTTGGATACAGAGCATTGGTAAGGAATTATCTGTTTCTGGTCACACCACTTCTCAAATATGCACCACTTGTTCCCATACAGTGAGCATGTAGAAGAGGCCCTTACACTCTAGATAGTCTCAATGAGTCCGAGAGGCAAGCCTGTCGCATTAAGATTCATCCTCTCACGGGCCAAGCCCAGAGGATCATGGTTTTCCGGGTGAAGGTGGCAAAATCGCTCCGTTCGCTTGGGTCAGTAGATAGATTCCTTGCGTAATGGTAGCTGCAGGGCTCGTCGTAAAGCAGGAGAGTGATCTCTGCTACCCAAAGCTTTCCTGGCCATCGAGGGGTTATCACTCTGTTCAGAGGGGGGAGGATCAAGCATTGCAGAGGAAAGCATAGAGTAACACTCTTGGCCAAGGGATAACGGACAGGGCGTGTCTTTCTGCGATGTGAAGTGATCTACGGTAAATCTCTGAAAAACAGAAAGGAAAACGCTGCACACTGCTGCTCATGCTCCCAGGTGATATTTATAACAATGTTTCGGTCTTAAATCAGGCATCCATTTTACATTTACATTTTAGATATCCCAGGTTGGGGTGGAAGTCCTATATATAGGGGCAGTACTCAGTGACATCACTTCCTGAAACAGGAGGTAAAAAATGTATAACATAGATTGAATGTTAATATTGTGAATCTATCAAAATATATGATCATATACAAGGAATGTGATCAATATTTACAGTAATATTCATACAATGTTCAATTAGGATTTTAAAAAAATATGATTGAAACTATAAAAACGGTTTCAACTCAAACTCCTCGTTAAGGCCAAGAGTAGATTGTGTGTTGAGCCTGTGGATCCAGAAAGATTCCCTTTGAAGAAGCTTCCTCTCAATGTCCCCTCCCCTGCGTGACATCTTGACCATTTATATTCCAATGTATCTCAGAGAACTAACAGGATGTCCAGCTTGTACAAAATGAACAGCAACCAGATTTTTTGTCTCACCTGTCCGTATATTGCAGCAGTGCTCTGGGACACCCATAATGGGGATTCCCTCTGGACAACAAGTCTGCTCCCACATTCAGTACACACGGGACATGAGTCGTGCGTAATGAGAGGAGATGTGCACTGCTCCACAGAATAATCTTGGCAGTCTATGCCACCAGTAATATTGTCTGTTCTGTCCAGGATGTGACAATTTCAAATGAAACACTCAGCAGAGGTAATTTATATGAGCGTGGCGGAGCTGTGGAGACCACAGTCCGTTTATTGCTCTTCCCTCGTGAACTGCGCCCCATCCTGTGACTGACGCATCTGTCGTCACCTCCTTCCTCGATGACACTAGCCCTAAGGGAGTGCCTGAAACTAAGATCGAGGGATCTTCCAGTGACGGAGAGCCGAAAGACAGTCCGTAGTCACCATCTTTCGACCGACGTGGACACAGGCGATGGGCAGTTTTTACCCAACGCTGGAAGTCTCATTCTCAGTAGTCCTAGTGGTACTACTGAGGTGGACGCCATCAACCCCAGCACTCGGAGACACGTTTGTAGCCCGATTAGAGAGAATCCAGCTTGACGCTTAGGTATTCTATTCTCTGTGTGGGCAGCAAACAGCTCTTTTTCTGGTTGATCTTGAACCCTAGCTCGGTGAAGTGGTATACAAGAGAAGCCGTGACTAGTACCACCTGCTTCTGTGTAGGGGAGAAAAGCAGGTAATCGTCTATGTAAGCGGATACTTTTAGCCCCTCCCCACACTTGAACGTTCGGGGAGCCAACGCTAGCCCGAAGCGAACAGCGAGGTATTCGTAGGCTTTGCCTTGAAAGGCGAACATGAGAAACGTCCTGTGTGTCGGCAGAATATTTACGTGAAAATAAGCATCCTGTGGCGGCCTAGCAGTTAGGGCCGCTGCCGTGGGTTCGAATCCGGTACAAACATCTCTCCAATCTTTGGTGTCTTCCTCTCCCGGTCTCTATCCCTATCTCTATCTTTAAAAAATTATTAAAAGCGCCCTGCAGGTTGACTGAAGTGAACCAGTCGCCACAACAAACAGAGCGAGATAGCACGTTGAGAGTAAGCATACAGAACATGTACGTTCTAAGAAATCTGTTGAGGATCCGTAGATCCAGAATGGGGTGGGCATGGACTGTGCATGCGAGCCAGTTCCCTGCTCTTGCGGCGAGTTGCTCACAAGTCAGATGATTCTTGCTCACCAGTGGTGCCCTATGGTGGCGTTAGAGCGAGTTGTTTGTTGTATTTTTGCTCTGTGCCCTCTGCAAGACACTTGAATGCGACAGAGACTTTTTTATTACAAAGGGCAGTGTTAAAACACTGGGATTTGGGGACCGTGCATGGTGATGACTGAACATTTGTCTTCCTGCCTCTGCTGCTTGTGAAAGCGTTGAGGGGAGAGCTGTGGAATGGCAATTGATGGTCCCTGTGAGCAGATGCATAGAAGTGCACCGCTGCACGAGTGGTAGGGTTTTAGGAGTACAGATGTGATAGTGATCTGTTGGCTGCCTCTACCGCCGGGGACATACCCCTAGGTCAGACGCCCCTCCTTCGCTCCAGAGTAGTCAGGTGGGCGGGGCCTCCATGTGGTCGCAGCGAAGGACCGCTTCCCCCACTGTCGGCCTCTGGGAAAGCCGAAATGTGGGTTCGCAGCCTACTGCGTAGCTGGGGGTTTTGCGTAGCAGGGGCAGCAGGCTCAGTAGCTCTGCTGTGATTGGTTCTTCCATTAGAGAATCCGCCTGAGAGAATGCCCATTGTGAGATATTAAAACAATATATTTGAAATAGAACTGTACTTCGTCTATGGGCAGGATCCTTACTGGTAGATGTCTGGTAAGTGAAGTCAACCATTGATGACAAATGAAAGGTATTTCAAAAGCACTTGGTGTTTAAAAAAAACTCCCATCTGGCAAATATAAGGACAATGCACATTGCATATGAACAAAACAAAAAATACCCGCTCCTAACATTAAAACCCCATCTCAAAGGAATGTTTACACTTTAAAAGAATGTTTTTACAAATCGGTACCTAATTCAGGTAAGAACGGTTTCTGCTCCGATTTAAGAACTGCTCCAGTCCAGTGCATTCATTCCTAAATACAATAACACCACAAATACAACCCGTAACCCTGCTTAAAGCCTTATATTCCTATTTCATTGCAGCTGTCATATTAAAAGCTTTGGCAGTGCCAGACAATATCAGCAGGCTACTAGGCAATCATTCAGCATCCACATTTCCGAGGACAGACAACAGTTTCTTGGTTTTCTGATCCAACAGATGCATATCTGTATGAAAATGTATGCACTCACTAACTGTATGTCGCTCTGGATAAGAGCGTCTGCTAAATGACTAAAATGTAAATGTAAATATCTGTATTCCCAGTCACGTGAAAGCCATAGATTAGGGCCTAATGAATTTATTTCAATTGACTGATTTCCTTATACGAACTGTAACTCAGTAAAATCTTTGAAATTGTTGCATGTTGCTTTATACACGACATGGCCAAATGTGGACACCTGCTCGATTATCTCATTCCAAAATCATGGGCATTAATATGGAATTAGTCCCCCCTTTGCTGCTATAACAGCCTCCACTCTTCTGGGAAGGCTATCCACTAGATGTTGGATGTTGCTGCGGGGACTTGTAGCAATGAGCATTAGCCACAAGAGCATTAGTGAGGTCGGACACTGATGTTGGGCGATTAAGCCTGGCTCACAGTCGGCGTTCCAATTCATCCCAAAGGTGTTCGATGGGGTTGAGGTCAGGGCTCTGTGCAGGCCAGTCAAGTTCTTCCACACCAATCTCGACAAACCATTTCTGTATGGACCTCGCTTTGTGCACGGGGGCATTGTCATGCTGAAACAGGAAAGGGCCTTCCCCAAACTCTTGCCACAAAGTTGGAAGCACAGAATCGTAGAGAATGTCATTGTATGCTGTTAAGATTTCCCGTCACTGGAACTAAGGAGCCTGAACCATGAAAAACAGCCCCAGACCATTATTCCTCCTTCACCAAACTTTACAGTTGGCACTATGCATTTGGGCAGGTAGCGTTCTCCTGGCATCCGCCAAACCCAGATTTGTCCATTGGACTGCCAGATGGTGAAGCGTGATTCATCACTCCAGATAATGCTTTTCAACTTTACAGTTGGTGCCTGGGATGTTTTTCTGCACATCAATTGTTACACAATCTCCAGTCTTCCACAGGACTGGTAATGCAATATTATTTTACACAAACATACACACAAATGGAGCTCATATCCTGAGCATTGAACACCATTTAAAAACATGTAGGCCAGAGGATGGAATATCCCAAGATAAAGCTGACGTTACCCTGAACAGGATTTAATATACAGTACCAAGATCAAACAAATTATGCAACATCATGATGGAATAAACTTAAATCTAAAGGTAGATTTGCCATAAATACCTGATATACACAATCTCCCACTTTCATGTCATGTTAAGGCTTACACTTTAGAGTGCATAAAGCATTGAACAGTGTGTTTTTATAACCTTTATGCTACTGTACAGTATTTGTCAAACGTGACGGACTTAGGGCTTCATAGACCTAATGCAGACATTTCTATGAAAATTCAATTCAATCCTATCAATCCCCCAATGCTTACGGAATCTCACCAAAATGATTTTGGTAAGCTGTCAGTTAAGTGAATATTTGGTATTCTCAAAGAAAAATGCTCAAACCCCTTCGGAAATGTTCAGCAGCAGTGCATCTTACTCTAGCATCAACATGATCAAAAGCCAAAGTGTACGGAGATATAGTTCTATGTCCATAAATATATGTTGGTCAATGAAAAGGTTATAATTTAGGGAACAGATATACATACAGTAAAATACTTACATATCAAACAGTATACTCTTACCGGAGTTCTTGTACGTTGATTAAGTCCTATATTGGTAAATGTCCTATATAGGTAGGGAATAAACTCGACAACAGTAACCAGGTTTCCATCTAACCTTTTTATGCGAGTAAAGTACGTGGGATAAAATAATTCACGACAGGCCTGATGGAAACGGCCAACAGCCAAATGTCAACAAAACAAAATACGCTAGACAAGGTGGGATCTTTTTGTGTCAGTAAAATTAATTATGCGCAAATATTGATATAATAACCATCATATCGAACTTGGGAGTCACACGATAACGTGTGGTCCACCCACTACGACTCGGGAAAGCATGGAGTTTATTACGCTACAGATGAAATAAGTTATGAGGAACTTCAAAGGGTGGAGAAAGTGCATGAGCTTGAGGCTGTTTTCCAATAAAGGGTCTTATTCTGGTGACATTTAGATCGATGCTTGGCTGCCATTTGACAAAGGTTATCTCACTCTTTTGTCCATAATAGGAATTTCATCATGTAGGTAGCCTCCCACACTGTATCTGCAAGCTTTTGGCTAGAGAGCACATGCAAAGACCAGAGTGGGCACATACATTAGAGTGGGGTCCGAAATTATTGACACCCTTGATAAAGATGAGCAATAATGTCTGTATAAAATAAATAATTCAAATACTGAGCTATATTCTTTTCTATATATATATATATTTTTTTTTGTAAAAATTGGGAAATCATTATTGTTTAACAAGTCTTTAAAAAAAATTATCCAAAAGTTAGGGGTCAAACTTATTGTATTTGGTCCCATATTCCTAGCACGCAATGACTACATCAAGCATGTGACTCAAACTTGTTGGGGGGTATGATCTTCGACCCTCTGTAACTTTCTCACTCATTATTCACGATTCATTTCAGGATTATCCGTAATCATGGTAGCATAGAAGTGATGTATAGAAGTGTTTAGAAACATGTTCTATTCTTACTTACAATAAAAGTGACTCCAAAATGACACAATACATTATTTGCCATTCATTTCTATTGGGCACAAATAATATGGGACCAAATACTAAACTTTTGACTACTTTATTTTTTTGCGCATACATTATAGCTCAGTATTTGAATTATTTATTTCATACAGTCATTGCTCATCTTTATCAAAACTGTCAATAATTTCGGAACCCACTGTATATAACGCAACATTTTTTGTGACAAAACGATCAGTGGAGTTGAAAATGCGATGGAAACCTATTTTTTATTTGGAACATGGGAATTTAACTGCAAAAGTTATTTTGATGTGCACTACGTCATCATGCACAGCATTTTATCCACAACAATTTGATGGAAACATCTCTGGTGGGAAAACTAGAATATTGTTTTTATGCAGATTTTAGAATATTTGCATGAAAATCTGGCGCCAATTGGATGGAAACCTAGCTACTGATCCCCATTTATCTAGGAGTTTGTTTTCTTACTAGCCTAGGGTAGGTCTAATATCTAACATTGAGCTGCCCTTTGAAAATCAATAGGGACATTTGGTCGGACACTTCTACCAATGTTTTTGAAACACAGCTATAAACGAGGCCTATATCACAAATGCCAATGCACTGCACCTATTGAATCACAAAAGTGATCAATTCAGAGCTCGTCTCTCAACATTCACTGGATATTGCCTACCTTATCTAATTCAGTTATTAACAATAGCCTGACATGCAAATGTAGCTGGAAAATCAATTGAAAGGAATGCTTACATCTTTTTGTCGCGCAAAACACGTCAGCGAAGGTACTATGCTACGTACAGAGTACAGACCCACTTGCATACTCAACCAACAGGTTTTGTACAATACGTTGAAATATGTAGAGTTTCCCTGTATTTGGTTTTGGAAACTGAAGTGAGCTGTAGCCTATTGCCTTTTTCTGTTTATGAGTCTTATTAAAGAATGTGAAACAATGTTGTGTCTGTTTGCTGCTTTTCATTAAATCATGTTCTTTAGGCTATGGCGTAAAATAAATTAGTTAATATGGGCAGAATATAACGCTTTGCGGTAGTGCTTCGGAAAGGAATTGCATTAGGATTAAGTAAGCCGTGTATTGAGCTGGGGTATTATATACTACACAACACTGGCTGTAAACATGGTCAGGTCAACTACAAAGGGAATTGAAGAGCAGGGTTCTTAGTCAAGTCAGTGTGGGCCCCTTCTTGTGCAAGCTTATGCTACTGCTAGCTACTGTACTGGAAGTCACAGATACTATACTACTAACTGTACAAAACCCTGCTTAGAGGCTACAACTTTAGAAGTGCTAGATCTGTATGATCCTCGTCTGGCACTGTGTAAACATTGCCTTCAGCTCGTTCTCTTGAGTCTCATTGAGACCGGCCATTTCTGGCTCTGGGCTCTTCTGCACCTTTGCCACGGCAAAGTTGATGCCTTGGGTAAGTCCGGCCTGGGTCAAGCTGGCCACCTGCACCATGGAGCTCTTGATCTTGGCAAAGGGAGAGACCACTCGGGTGCCATTGCCGTCGGCGGGCAAGGGGCCCAGGCTGCCCTCCATGTGAGAGCCGCCAGAAGCTGCCGAGCTGAGCTTCTGGGCAGTCAGGAGATTGGGTCTGGAGGCAACATCTAGCTGGGACGGCCTGGGAGGGAGCTGGAGCTCCTTCTCCTGCTGATCTGAACCTGGGTGCTCGTCTAGGGCAAGGGGGCCTTTAGCATGTGAAGGGACCTGTGGGTTCTGTGTGGGGACGCCACCAGTCACCTGCTCCCCAAATACCTCGACAGGTTTGGTCTGCGCATCTTGGATGAATTGGTGGCAATAGGCATCAATGGGCGTTCCAAAGTCTATCAGGATGGCCTCCTCAGCCTCTGAGGTAGCACCGGGAGACTGGTCTTCAGGACTGGCTAGAGCCGGAGCCTCCTGCTTACTATTACTGTCGCAGCCAGTGACTCGGATGTTGAGCTCCATGCTGCCTAGCCGCGGTGCTGACGCCACGATGCCGCAGCTGGGCAGCACGTAGTCCACGTTCTCCAGGGAGCCGGAGCGCAGGTGTTCATCCGAGTTGTAGGAGTCTGAGTCGGATGACATCTCTGAGTGGTTGTCACAAAGGTCCTTCAGGGCCGGGCCGGTGTTTGCCCCCTCTGAGGTCTCCAAGCTGCTGTCAGACTTCCAGAGGGTGATCCCAATGGTGGGCTTCAGGAAGTTCACTTTCACATCGGGCTTGGTGGAGAAGGTGTTGCCAAGCCTCCCCTTGAAGGAGCCCATGTTGACGTTGGACTTCTTCACCCTCTGGTTGAGAGAGGAGAATTTGTTGAGGAGGAAGCTCTTTCCCTGAGCCAGACCAGAGCTGCCCAGGACCTGGTCAGTGTGTCTGCCCATGATGTCCTCGTGAGGTTTACTGTGCCTTCTGAAACAAATGGATTGACAATATACAGTCTAGTATTTTATCCAGGGCTTCTGTTCATAGTGCATATCCATGTCAAAAGGGTTAGTATAGGCATACTGCACAAGTGTAAAATACAGTAACTACGAGAAGAATATTCTGAAGATCTAGAAAGAGTGATAATGAATTCCAACTCACCTCTCCAGTGTCTTTTCAATCACCTGCAGGTCAAGTCCCATGGCTTGCTTTGTTATGCAAAGCATCTCAGCTATGCACTGTAACGTGTCTGAAATATAATTAATCATTCCCACAATGGAGGTCAGGACAAGGAATTCAGGTAATTTATTTGGGATACACGGGCAGTGCGCTTCCAATCTACCAGATTGTATTCATGGTCGACTAGTTTTATGCTGACAATTTTATGAAATAAATAATCTTCCCATACCTTTACCGTCATCCTCAGGATTCCTTGTGACAGCCCTCAGTGTGTGAAAATACCCACTTGTCTCCTCATTCTTGTAGTGTAGACGCATACAGCAGAATTTGGGCTTCCCGAACAGAGTAGGTTCTGGACCTAAAAAATAACACATAGGACATGTTGTGAGCTTTATTGATGAGTTACTCCTATAGCTCAGTTGGAAGAGCATGGCGCTTGCAACGTCAGGGTTGTGGGTTCGATTCCCACGGGGGGCCAGTATGAAAAATGTATGCACTCACTAACTGTAAGTCGCTCTGGATAAGAGCGTCTGCTAAATGACTAAAATGTAAATGTAAATGTAATGTTTGTGGTAAATCAAAAACAGTAGTTGCATCATTCAGAATTTGTGTACAATGAATGAAAACCGTGTGCTTAGTAGCTTTACAGTGTAAAATACATCTTGAAGCTGTGATGTCTGATTTAGACCCTGTCTACACTTTGGAATTTCCACTTGGTGGAGCTATATTTCTCTGAAGGGGAAACACTCCTCACCTATTTCAATCTTTTCCAAACCCTCTAAGTTGAGGCGCTGGTACTGATTGACTTTGTCAGCTTCCTCATCATAACTGTAAAAACGAAAGCAAAAAAAAAACTATTATATAAGGCTAAAACATGTAATTGACTCTTCTGTAATAAATTCAGGCACTTACTACGCAATGTAATATGCACTGTTGGATAGCAGAAGGAGAACATCCACGTCTTTGCTGGTTGCATCAATAAGGCTGATGAGAAGAAAAAACATGACAATGAGCTTTCTACATGAACAATTTGTTGAGGAACAAACACTTTCAAAGTGTTGATTTTGAGGTGTGTCTTAATTGCCCCTGAGGAAATAAAAAAAGTTTAATTTAATTGATGCACGCTAACAGTGTTGGGAGAACAAACACTATGAGAGCCAACTCATGAAAGGATTCAGTCAAAGAAACAAAAATAGCTTCTAAGCAAAATACAATTTCTCAAGCAATAATTTTGCTAGGACTGTCTGGGAGTGGGACCTAATTGGAAGAGCCTAATGGGAGGGATTTGTAACCTGAAAACGAGCTGTTATTGACAGAGAGGAGGGCAAACTCTCTTTGTTATAGGTCTATTAACCTATAACGCCTGGTGAGGTCACCAGGCGGTCCAAAAACCCCACCCAGCCAAACAACCTGACATTTCAGGCAGTCTTTTCAAATAGCTCTTACACTAAAAGTCCATTATCATTGTGTGGAAATATACAGTTGAAGTCAGAAGTTTACATACACCTTAGCCAAATAGATTTAAACTCAGTTTTTCACAACTCCTGACATTTAATCCTAGTAAAAATTCCCTGTCTTAGGTCAGTTAGGATCACCACTTTATTTTAAGAATGTGAAATGTCTTCCACAAGCTTCCCACAATAAGTTGAGTGAATTTTGGCCTGACAGAGCTGGTGTAACTGAGTCAGGTTTGTAGGCCTCCTTGCTCGCACACGCTTTTTCAGTTCTGCCCACAAATGTTCTATAGGATTGAGGTCAGGGCTTTGTGATGGCCACTCCAATACCTTGACTTTGTTGTCCTTAAGCCATTTTGCCACAACTTTGGAAGTATGCTTGGGGTCATTGTCCATTTGGAAGACCCATTTGCGACCAAGCTTTAACTTCCTGACTGATGTCTTGAGATGTTGCTTCAATATATCCACATAATTTTCCTTCCTCATGATGTCATCTATTTTGTGAAGTGCACCAGTCCCTCCTGCAGCAAAGCACCCCCATGCTTCACGGTCGGGATGGTGTTCATCCGCTTGCAAGCACCCCCTTTTTCCTCCAAACATAACGATGGTCATTATGGCCAAACAGTTCTATTTTTGTTTCCTCAGACCAGAGGACATTTCTCCAAAAAGTACGATCTTTGTCCCCATGTGCAGTTGCAAACCGTAGTCTGGCTTTTTATGGCGGTTTTGGAGCAGTGGCTTCTTCCTTGCTGAGCGGCCTTTCAGGTTATTTCGATATAGGACTCGTTTTACTGTGGATATAGATACTTTTGTACCTGTTTTTTCCAGCATCTTCACAAGGTCCTTTGCTGTTGTTCTGGGATTGATTTGCACTTTTCGCACCAAAGTACGTTCATCTCTAGGAGACAGAACGTGTCTCCTTCCTGAGCGGTATGACGGCTGCGTGGTCCCATGGTGTTTATACTTGCGTACTATTGTTTGTACAGATGAACGTGGTACCTTCAGGCATTTGGAAATTGCTCCCAAGGATGAACCAGACTTGTGGAGGTCTACCATTTTCTTGGCTGATTTCTTTTGATTTTCCCATGATGTCAAGCAAAGAGGCACTGAGTTTGAAGGTAGGCCTTGAAATACATCCACAGGGACACCTCCAATTGACTCAAATTATGTTAATTAGCCTATCAGAAGCTTCTAAAGCCATTACATCATTTTCTGGAATTTTTCAAGCTGTTTAAAGGCACAGTCAACTTAGTGTATGTAAACTTCTGACCCACTGGAATTGTGATATAAGTGAAATAATCTGTCTGTAAACAATTGTTGGAAAAATTACTTATGTCATGCACAAAGTAGATGTCCTAACGGACTTGCCAAAACTATAGTTTGTTAACAAGAAATTTGTGGAGTGGTTGAAAAACGAGTTTTAATGACTCCAACCTAAGTGTATGTAAACTTCAGACTTCAACTGTACATACAAAACACAGGAAAATCATGTTAATGACTGCACTGCCCCTTTAAGGTTAGAGTTGTGATTTGTGGATGGTTCCAGCACTAACCTCATGTCACAGTCGATGAGGGCCCAGCCACCATGGAACTGCTCGTCGTCAGGCAGCAGCAGCTGCATGTAGGTCTGCAGCAGGAGGCTGACCTGCTCCTGGGTTACTCTCTGGCTCTCCTGCTCCTTCTCCTCATGCTCCTTCTCCTTACTGAAGATGGAGTACAGGTCCTCCGTCACAGGATGGCCCATCATCAGGTCTAGAGAGAGAGGGGGGAGGGAGGGAAGAACAAGGATGATTGAGTCACGGTTTTAAGACTAAATAAATGAGGGTGGAATCCATTTTTATAACACTTTACTTAGAGCCTGCAGGTATAATGCATTTGAACTTGTTATAAGCATATATGTACCTTTATAATGTCTTGAAATATGTTATGTCTATATATATTTTTTTTTTCCTTTTACTGACTCACAATGGCTATTGATATTTAGTCAGGATCATTATGATATGATTAATAACACATAAGGGAATCATGCATGCTCATGACAAGTCTTAGAATGAATTAAAACTGCTTCATAATGCATTACATCTGCAGGCTTTAAGTAAAGTATTACAGGTCCCTTCTTACCAATGACTGCTTGTCTGTATGCGTCCCTGAAGCGGTTCAGATAGTAGCGGTTGGCTGAGTTCACGCCGTCTTTCATCACCCCGGCCAGTTTTCTTTCCCCCGTTCTGGTGAAGTCTCCCTGTATAATGGATTACAGACAGAAGATGTCAAAAACAAGCAAGATATTGCACAGTCACTGTCTGATCCATTCCACAAAAGAACTAGGCTAATATGGTAGAATAGGGTTTTATACTCTTCCTGGCTTAGGGCTCTGTAGTGTAAACACTTTGCTGATATTGGCTTTATTGAGTAAAAGTTTTATTTACCCTAACCAGGTTCCATTTCCAACATTTTAATGTAAATAAAGTACATGTTGGAAAAAAATTTTTAACATCAGGCCTGATGGAAATAGCTAATTTGTCGGTAAACTTTCCAAATGTCGACAAAACAATATAACAGAGATCATCAACTAGATTCAGCCGCGGGCCAATTTGTTCTTGAGCGGATGTTCGGAACATAATAAAACAAAATATTTTTAGACTGCAAATTCACCGCAAGAAGCCTAAACAGATATAATATTTGACTAAAACAATCATTTCAAACCTTGATTACATTTGGGGACATTGCCCTGCGTAGGGTGCGGTCTTTCGGATGGGACGTTAAAATAAGTGTTCTGACTTTCTGTTGTCATTCAAAATCCCATGGCACTTATTGTAAGATTAGGGGTGTTCACCCCTGTGTCATGGCTAAATTCCCAACCTGGCCACATTCCATCATTGCCACCTAATCATCCCCCTCATTCCTAATGCGCATATATCACTCCTCACCTCTCCACCTGATAGCTGATGTGTGGTGAGCATTCTGGCACAAAATTGGTCACCGTTCATCACTGAGGTGGGTGCTACACATTGATGGTGGATGAGGTGAGTTTCCCCCAACTATGTAAAGCGCTTTGAGTACCTCAGTTACTAGAAAAGCGTTATATAAATCCAATCAATTATTATTAATTATTATTATTATTTCTATACGGTCAAATCTCTCTATTAAACGTGGGAATAATTGGGAACAGATTTCCTAAATTACAATCACTTGGAGCTGATTTCCTGGTGTTTTTACAGTATTTTATGTACAACAATAAAAAATGATATATATATACAGTGGGGGAAAAAAGTATTTAGTCAGCCACCAATTGTGCAAGTTCTCCCACTTAAAAAGATGAGAGAGGCCTGTAATTTTCATCATAGGTACACGTCAACTATGACAGACAAAATGAGAAAAAATAATCCAGAAAATCACATTGTAGGATTTTTAATGAATTTATTTGCATATTATGGTGGAAAATAAGTATTTGGGCAATAACAAAAGTTTCTCAATACTTTGTTATATACCCTTTGTTGGTAATGACACAGGTCAAACGTTTTCTGTAAGTCTTCACAAGGTTTTCACACACTGTTGCTGGTATTTTGGCCCATTCCTCCATGCAGATCTCCTCTAGGGCAGTGATGTTTTGGGGCTGTCGCTGGGCAACACAGACTTTCAACTCCCTCCAAAGATTTGCTATGGGGTTGAGATCTGGAGACTGGCTAGGCCACTCCAGGACCTTGAAATGCTTCTTACGAAGCCACTCCTTCGTTGCCCGGGCGGTGTGTTTGGGATCATTGTCATGCTGAAAGACCCAGCCACGTTTCATCTTCAATGCCCTTGCTGATGGAAGGAGGTTTTCACTCAAAATCTCACAATACATGGCCCCATTCATTCTTTCCTTTACACGGATCAGTCGTCCTGGTCCCTTTGCAGAAAAACAGCCCCAAAGCATGATGTTTCCACCCCCATGCTTCAAAGTAGGTATGGTGTTCTTTGGATGCAACTCAGCATTCTTTGTCCTCCAAACACGATGAGTTGAGTTTTTACCAAAAAGTTATATTTTGGTTTCATCTGACCATATGACATTCTCCCAATCCTCTTCTGGATCATCCAAATGCAGTCTGGCAAACTTCAGACGGGCCTGGACATGTACTGGCTTAAGCAGGGGGACACATCTTTCACTGCAGGATTTGAGTCCCTGGCGGCGTAGTGTGTTACTGATGGTAGGCTTTGTTACTTTGGTCCCAGCTCTCTGCAGGTCATTCACTAGGTCCCCCCGTGTGGTTCTGGGATTTTTGCTCACCATTCTTGTGATCATTTTGACCCCACGGGGTGAGATCTTGCGTGGAGCCCCAGATCGAGGGAGATTATCAGTGGTCTTGTATGTCTTCCATTTACTAATAATTGCTCCCACAGTTGATTTCTTTAAACCAAGCTGCTTACCTATTGCAGATTCAGTCTTCCCAGCCTGGTGCAGGTCTACAATTTTGTTTCTGGTGTCCTTTGACAGCTCTTTGGTCTTGGCCATAGTGGAGTTTGGAGTGTGACTGTTTGAGGTTGTGGACAGGTGTCTTTTATACTGATAACAAGTTAAAACAGGTGCCATTAATACAGGTAACGAGTGGAGGACAGAGGAGCCTCTTAAAGAAGAAGTTACAGGTCTGTGAGAGCCAGAAATCTTGCTTGTTTGTAGGTGACCAAATACTTATTTTCCACCATAATTTGCAAATAAATTCATTAAAAATCCTACAATGTGATTTTCTGGATTATTTTTTCTCAATTTGTCTGTCATAGTTGACTTGTACCTATGATGAAAATTACAGGCCTCTCTCATCTTTTTAAGTGGGAGAACTTGCACAATTGGTGGCTGACTAAATACTTTTTTTCCCCACTGTATATACAGTGGGGAAAAAAAGTATTTAGTCAGCCACCAATTGTGCAAGTTCTCCCACTTAAAAAGATGAGAGAGGCCTGTAATTTTCATCATAGGTACACGTCAACTATGACAGACAAAATGAGAAGAAAAAAAATCCAGAAAATCACATTGTAGGATTTTTAATAAATTTATTTGCAAATTATGGTGGAAAATAAGTATTTGGTCAATAACAAAAGTTTCTCAATACTTTGTTATATACCCTTTGTTGGCAATGACACAGGTCAAACGTTTTCTGTAAGTCTTCACAAGGTTTTCACACACTGTTGCTGGTATTTTGGCCCATTCCTCCATGCAGATCTCATCTAGAGCAGTGATGTTTTGGGGCTGTCGCTGGGCAACACGGACTTTCAACTCCCTCCAAAGATTTTTTATGGGGTTGAGATCTGGAGACTGGCTAGGCCACTCCAGGACCTTGAAATGCTTCTTACGAAGCCACTCCTTCGTTGCCCGGGCGGTGTGTTTGGGATCATTGTCATGCTGAAAGACCCAGCCACGTTTCATCTTCAATGCCCTTGCTGATGGAAGGAGGTTTTCACTCAAAATCTCACGATACATGGCCCCATTCATTCTTTCCTTTACACGGATCAGTCGTCCTGGTCCCTTTGCAGAAAAACAGTCCCAAAGCATGATGTTTCCACCCCCATGCTTCACAGTAGGTATGGTGTTCTTTGGATGCAACTCAGCATTCTTTGTCCTCCAAACACGATGAATTGAGTTTTTACCAAAAAGTTCTATTTTGGTTTCATCTGACCATATGACATTCTCCCAATCCTCTTCTGGATCATCCAAATGCACTCTAGCAAACTTCAGACGGGCCTGGATATGTACTGGCTTAAGCAGGGGGACACGTCTGGCACTGCAGGATTTGAGTCCCTGGCGGCGTAGTGTGTTACTGATGGTAGGCTTTGTTACTTTGGTCCCAGCTCTCTGCAGGTCATTCACTAGGTCCCCCCGTGTGGTTCTGGGATTTTTGCTCACCGTTCTTGTGATCATTTTGACCCCACAGGGTGAGATCTTGCGTGGAGCCCCAGATCGAGGGAGATTATCAGTGGTCTTGTATGTCTTCCATTTCCTAATAATTGCTCCCACAGTTGATTTCTTCAAACCAAGCTGCTTACCTATTGCAGATTCAGTCTTCCCAGCCTGGTGCAGGTCTACAATTTTGTTTCTGGTGTCCTTTGACAGCTCTTTGGTCTTGGCCATAGTGGAGTTTGGAGTGTGACTGTTTGAGGTTGTGGACAGGTGTCTTTTATACTGATAACAAGTTCAAACAGGTGCCATTAATACAGGTAACGAGTGGAGGACAGAGGAGCCTCTTAAAGAAGAAGTTACAGGTCTGTGAGAGCCAGAAATCTTGCTTGTTTGTAGGTGACCAAATACTTAATTTCCACCATAATTTGCAAATAAATAAAATGTCCTCAATTTGTCTGTCATAGTTGACGTGTACCTATGATGAAAATTACAGGCCTCTCTCATCTTTTTAAGTGGGAGAACTTGCACAATTGGTAGCTGACTAAATACTTTTTTTCCCCACTGTATGAGATATATTTTACATTTTTTTTACATTATAGTCATTTAGCAGACGCTCTTATCCAGAGCGACTTACAGTTAGTGAGTGCATAATTATTTAAAAAATGTCTTACTGGTCCCCCGTGGGAAATGAACCCACAACCCTGGCGTTGCAAACCCCATGCTCTACCAACTGAGCTACACGGGACTATATAGAAGAGGCAACTCCGGGATGCTGACCTTCTAGACAGAGTTGCAAAGAAAAAGCCATATCTCAGACTGGCCAATAAAAAGAAAAGATTAAGATGGGCAGTCTGAGATATGGCTTTTTCTTTGCAACTCTGCCTAGAAGGTCAGCATCCCGGAGTCGCCTCTTCACTGTTGACGTTGAGACTGGTGTTTTGCGGGTACTATTTAATAAAGCTGCCAGTTGAGGACCTGTGAGGCGTCTGTTTCTCAAACTAGACACAATTCGTCGGGGCATGGACTCTACAAGGTGTCGAAAGTATTCCACAGGGATGCTGGCCCATGTTCACTCCAATGCTTCCCACAGTTGTGTCAAGTAATCTCCCGAGTGGCGCAGTGGTCCTGGTTCGAATCCAGGCTCTGTCGTAGCCGACCGCGACCGGGAGACCCATGGGGTGGCGCACAATTGGCCCAGCGTCGTCCAGGGTAGGGGAGGGAATGGCCGGCAGGGATGTAGCTCAGTTGGTAGAGCATGGCATTTCCCACGGGGGGCCAGTATGAAAAATAAAATAAAAATAATGTATGCACTCACTAACTGTAAGTCGCTCTGGATAAGAGCGTCTGCTAAATGACTAAAATGTAAGTTGGCTGGATGTCGTTTGGGTGTTGGACCATTCTTGATATACACGGGAACCTGTTGAGCGTGAAAAACCCAGCAGCGTTGCAGTTATTGACACACTCAAACCGGTGCGCTTGGCACCTACTACCATACCCTGTTCAAAGGAACTTATATTTTTTGTCTTGCCCATTCACCCTTTGAATGGCACACATACACAATCCATGTCTCAATTGTTGATGCTTAAAAATCCTTCTTTAACCCATCTCCTCCCCTTTATCTACACTGATTGAAGTGGATTTAACAGGTGACATCAATAAGGCATCAAAGCTTTCACCTGGATTCACCTGGTCAGTCTCATGGAAAGAGTATGTGTATAATAGGTAGTTAAACATAACTGAGCAAATATGTTTGACATTTTACATTTTAGTCATTTCGCAGACGCTTTTATCCAGAGCGACTTACAGGAGCAATTAGGGTTAAGTGACTTGCTCAAGGTCACCGAGAGATTTTTCACCTAGCCGGCTACTGGCCCAATGCTCTTAACCACTAGGCTACCTGCCGCCCTCATTTCTTGTTTCATTACTTGATACATTTACCCAGGCAGCGGAGGCCTACTAACTGTGGAGAAACAGGACAGTATACTGTTGGCAGATGCAAACCGAATATAGCAAACCTAATATTAGCTTAAAACTTTACACATGCTAATGATTTTACCTTGAGGGCGGCCGTGCCGGCGTACTGTCTGCTGATGGTGTCGCCGTTGTTGGCCCACATGACCTGGTAGATCCTGTAGCACTTGAGTGGCAGAGGCTGCTCAGGGGGCATCACACCCAGTTTCTTCAGCTGAGGGACGCAGAGACAAAGTTAGCCATCAGACACCATGGAACCTTTGCCAGAAAACTACACTTACAGGGGAATTCCACTGAAAAAGTTTACATTTTATGTTTTGTTATTTTCCTTTTAATATGTAATATGTCAACCATTACCATGTCTACCATTACATCATCAGCTTTAAGTTGCCATGTTTGAAGTGGGGAAATGTCTCACCTGCGCCTCCATTACTGCACGAGCTATGGCAGCCTGGACTACATTGGTCCTGTCCAGACAGTCCATGCAGTTGACCCGGAAAATGCTCTCCTGATGGCAGATGACTCCTGCCTGGTCCACCCTGAAAGAGAACCATTCACTGTGTGATGCATTGCATGTAGATATGGAGCTTCTGATCCACATGTGCAATCAATTACTGATTCATTGAGGATTTTCTTGCCCAATAAAAAAAAAGTATATTGAGGTTGGCACACACTCCCACACACTTACCAGCCCCATCTCATGTCTGCGATAATATCAGAGATGGCATCTGTCAGCGTTTGCACATTCTCAAACTTCATACCTCGACTGAGAAGACAAAATACCAATTTAATATATACAGGGGAAGTGCATACTATAATAAATAAATAAATACAAGAATTGTAGTTTAGGTTATTCTTTCCTTATTGAATTTACTTATTATACTTAACAAAAACACAAAACACAACATGCAACAATTTCAAAGATTTTTGTGAGTTACAGTTCATATAAGGAAATCAGACAGGTAGCTTAGTGGTTAAGAGCGTTGTGCCAGTAACCGAAAGGTCGCTGGTTCTAATCCCCGAGCCGACTAGGTGAAAAGTCTGTCGATGTGCCCTTGAGCAAGGCACTTAACCCTAATTGCTCCTGTAAGTCGCTCTGGATAAGAGCGTCTGCTAAATGACTAAAATGTAAAATGTAATTAGGCCCTAATCTATGGATTTCACAAGACTGGGCAGGGGCGCAGCCAGTCAGAATTAGTTTTTCCCAACAAAAGGGCTTTATTACAGACAGAAATACTCCTCAGTTTCATCAGCTGTCCGGGTGGCTGGTCTTTGATGATCCCACTGTTGAAGAAGCCGGATGTGGAGGTCTTGGACTGGCATGGTTACACGTGGTCTGCGGTTGTGAGACTGGTTGGACTTACTGCCAAATTCTCTAAAATGACGTTGGAGGAGGCTTATGGTAGAGAAATGAACATTCAATTCTGGCAAGAGCTCTGGAGGACATTCCTGCCATCCGCATGCCAATTGCACGCTCCCTCAAAACTTGAGACATCTGTGGCATTGTGTTGTGTGACAAAACTGCACATTTTAGAGTGGCCTTTTATTGTCCCCAGCACAAGGTGTACCTGTGTAATGATCATGCGGTTTAATCAGCTTCTTGATATGCCACACCTGTGCATATGGAAAAATGTCTGGGATCTTTTATTTCAGCTCATGAAACATGGGACCAACACTTTACATGTTGCGTTTATATTTTTGTTCAGTATTAAATGATCTGTGCAGTCAAGAGCTGATTGTTTCTGTGCATCAATTTTCTTACCAGTGCTCATGGAAGTCAAAAGAGACATATGTGAGGTTAGGATTGTTGTACAGAAGGACTTGTTTGAGATATGCATCGCCAATAATCTTCTCACGCCCACTTTGGTCCACTAAGTTTATGATGACCTGTCAAAACAAGAGAAAACATAGTTGTAAATTGCATTCATTTTACTATAAACAATAAGTCTCTACTTATGTTAAACTAAAACTCAAGCTTTGGTATTGATATCAAAGTAATGCCAATGCTGTCCGGCATATGATTCTCACCTGCTTCTTGTAAAGGTTGAGCTGTTCGTCAAAGTGAGCAGCAAAGTAAGGAATGGTCTCCTTCTCTCCTGAAAAGATTATTATAACATAACGGGAAAAAGTATATGATGGGGTCGCATTCATTTTAGCTTGCCCAGTGCCCTGGGTGGGTGGAGTTTGCATATTTAAGACCATTCCATTAGTCATAAAAAGAAATTTGGCCCACCCGGGGCACTGGACAAGCTTAAACGAACGCACTCATTATACCCAAGGCAGTATTTTGGATTGGTAATATCCCACTGACCTTTCTCCAGCCGAGGCCTGGGGTTGTAGCGGTAGCCTGCTTGGCTCCAGAAGACAGGCACCGAACCGCGGCTCTGCACAAAGGACAGTGAGTGGTTGTGCACGTGTATCAGCTGCTCTGTCTCCACAAAGTTAGCCACGTGGCCATCTGTGTCTACCCCTCTGCGTTTGTACCGCATCCCTTTGGGGAGAAGAAAACTATGATCATTAAATTCACCCTCCAATAATCATCAGAGTTTAACTATGACTTATCAAAGTGTTGCAAATAGAACCTAGCAATTTAGCCTGGGTGTCCATGACCATTGACCTCTGTACTGTACCTGCGCGGTGGCGACTGCGGCGGGAGATGAGGGCCACGGTAAAGCGCGGGTGGATGTCGTCCACGCAGGTGATCTCCTGGAGCGGCGTATCTGGGCTGCTCTTCTCCTCGTCTGGGCTCTCGTTGTAATTCACCACCAGCTCCTGCACCTGCACAAAGCCCTGGATGATGGGTGTCACCCAGAAGTCCACCTCTGGAACCTGCAACACAACAAGAAAAGTTACAACTAAACTCTATACAGTGATGCTAAATGTAGATGTATAAAGAGGGAATGCAGTAGTTCAGTATATATTTAACATAGATTTAAAGGAGTACGATTGGTATCCGTTCAAATCACTCCAATAATACCTAACACTAATTGTTTCCTTGCTAGAACATTTCCCTATTGTTCAGATAGTGTTCTGCAGAAGCGTTCAGTGCCACACCAGTGCACCATGACCATCTGTATTCTTATACAGTGCATTCGGAAAGTATTCAGATTCCTTGACTTCTTCCACATTTTGTTAAGTTACAGCCTTATTCTAAAATTGATTAAATAGCTTTTTCCCCCTCATCAATCTACACACAATACCTCATAACGACAAAAACAAAAACAGGATTATTTTTGTGTGCAAATGTATAAAAAAAAAGTTCATATCACATTTACATAAGTATTCAGACCCTTTACTCAGTACTTTGTCGAAGCACCTTACAGCGATTACAGCCTCGAGTCTTCTTGGGTATGACGCTAAAAGCTTGGCACACCTGTATTTGGGGAGTTTCTCCCATTCTTCTCTTCAGATCCTCTCAAGCTCTGTCAGGTTGGATAGAGAGCGTCGCTTCACAGCTATTTTCAGGTCTCTCCAGAGTTCTTCAAATCGGGTTCAAGTCCGGGTTCTGGCTGGGCCACTCAAGGACATTCAGAGACTTGTCCCGAAGCCAATCTTGCATTGTCTTGGCTGTGTGCTTAGGGTTTTTGTCCTGTTGGAAGGTGAACCCAGACCCCAGTCTGAGGTCCTGAGTGTTCTGGAGCAGGTATTCAAGGATCTCGCTGTGCTCCGTTCATCTTTCCCTTGATCCTGACTAGTCTCCCAGTACCTGCCGCTGAAAATCATGCCCACAGCATGATGCTGCCACCACCATGCTTCACCGTAGAGATGGTATTGGCCAGACGTGACGCTTGGCATTCAGCCCAAAGAGTTCAATCTTGGTTTCATCAGACCAGAGAATCTTATTTCTCATGTTCTGAGAGTCCTATAGGTGCCTTTTGGCACACTGCAAGCGGGCTGTCGTGTGTCTTTTACTGAGGAGTGGCTTCCGTCTGGCCACTCTACCATAAAGGCCTGATTGGTGGAGTGCTGCAGAGATGGTTGTCCTTCTGGAAGGGTCTCCCATCTCCAGAGGGGATCTCTGGAGCTCTGTCAGAGTGACCATCGGGTTCTTGGTCACCTCCCTGACCAAGGCCCTTCTCCCCTCATTGCTCAGTTTGGCCGGGCAGCCAGCTCTCTGAAGAGTCTTGGTGGTTCCAAACTTCTTCCATTTAAGAATGATGGAGGCCACTGTGTTCTTGGGGACCTTCTATGCTGCAGACATTTTTTGGTACACTTCCCCAGATCTGTGCCTCGATACAATCCTGTCTCGGAGCTCTACGGACAATTCCTTCAACCTCATGGCTTGGTTTTTGCTGACAGGCACTGTCAACTGTGGGACGTTATATAGACAGGTGTGTGCCTTTCCAAATCATGTCCAATCAATTGAATTTACCACAGGTGGACTCCAATCAAGTTGTAGAAACATCTCAAGGATGATTAATGGAAACAGGATGCACCGGAGCTCAATTTCGAGTCTCATAGCAAAGGGTCTGAATATCTATGTAAATAACGTATTTCTGTGTTTAATTTTTTATAAATTTACCAAAAATTATAAAAACCTGTTTTCGCTTTGTCATTATGGGTTGTTGTTGAATAAGGCTGTAATGTAACAAAATGTGGATAAAGGGAAGGGGTCTGAATACTTTCCGAATGCACTGTATACAGTCTTGAAATACATCAGTTACCTGCAGATCAATTAGCTCCTGGACCATGTGTTTGTTCCAGAAGAATCTGTCATCCACCTTGAAGAGGAAAATAACTATTATCAGTCAAACACAATTACTTTATTTGACTTATTGAAGCTCGGTTAAACCACTTATCTTAAAAGACATGAAATGTGTGGTAAAATACTACTGTACTTAAACCAAGCATCTCAAACTGGCGACCCGCGGGCCAAACGTGACCAGTGATCCGATTTAATGCAGCCTGCGGTTATTTAGTAAATGTCTTAGTAAATGCGACCTGTGTGCTTTGAGTGTAGTAATAACCACTTACCTGTTTCCATTGGGGCAAGTTGGACTTTTCTGTGTCTCCCTGCCTCTGCACAGTGTTGGTGAGGTCATAAGTCATGCTGTAGTAGAAGGAATCGGAGTCCATGAATATCTTGTACAACTCCTCGAGCAGCCGCCTCTCGAGACGTTCCTTCTCTTTGTTTTCCTTGACCTGAAAGGCAGGGGAATACTGGGTGGTGGGCATGGACAGGGATGGTATTAAATTGGCAAAATCATATATTTTTTAAAAGTATATATAAAAAACATATATGTCCAAGTATTTTGTAATGACAGTAAATAAAAGCAAATGTACCAATTCAAAAATGTACAAGAGGCATGAAAGATGATAATACATGGGATTTCTGAGCACAGTACCACAAATTATATTACCTTTTTCTTAGTGGGAGCCCCAACATTGGACTTGATCTGACTCAGAGTTTTCATCAGGTATTTCGACTCATCTGGAGACCGTGCAAGCTTCTCTGGTTTGTCGATCCCAAAGTGATGCTTCTTACAAAGCTAAAAGAAAAAGGACAGACTTTCTATTCCACTTTCTATCAAAATTGTACACTGTTAACATACCAACGTCATCATCCCCTGTAGTGATGTGTGACAGGAATTTAAATATGAACTCTGGGAAATACGGTCACTTTTATAACCCATCTGAAAGCATTACCATTCATTTCGTTCATCTTAGGCTAACTGAGTATACCAACGCATTCTGAATTGACCCCAACTCTGCTATAAGTCTTCCTTATAATTTAATTAATGATTAATGTATTCCAAATATATTTACAGGGAATGATAGACAATTGGGATCATACTGGTGGACATGTCTATGAGGTTGATTGACAGCTAATCGCTATGGCGTCTGTGGGTTAATTGGTTCAGTCTCAATTTGATTGCTAGCTAATTACATCAATTCAAAGCTACTCGCTACCAACAGTCAAAAACATCCAAAACAACTGGTTTAGAAAACTAAAACAACTTCACAGGGCTACTGAATTCCTAACCTAGACGGGATGGAATAATAATTCTGTGGTATGGACAGTATGTAGGGCTAGGTTCTAGAAACATACCAGAGACATGATTATCCAACAGATCCCGTTTACTGGAAAAGTTTCACTTACTTTCTCATGATCAGTATCGATATCATCTGTATCATCATCATGGCTCACCTGTAAGACTGGCATCTAAGTAAAATCCCAATTCCTCTGAGATCATTTGGCAAAATCCCATTATTTTGGTTTCTAATTAAACAATTCTGATTAACATTAGCAATGCAGAAAAAGAACACTAATGTAGTGTACCTTGGATGTTCATCTTACAAGGTGATTCATTGGTGGGGACTCATCAAGGTGTCAATCAAAACAGGGCAATTGAGATACTTACTAGAAACATTGAAATGCAATCATAAAATTGAAAACAACTAAGGCTAGCCTAGATGATAGCGGCAAGCTATGGTTTTCATTACATCTCATGATGACTGTAACCTAGATTAAAGATGCACTATGCAGAAATCACTACGCCATTTCCTGGTTGCTAAAATTCGAATAGTTAGCCTAATTTTAGTTTATGTGACAAAACAAGCAAGTATAGTTAAGAGAATCATTGTACCATCTATTGTATTTTCAGCTGTTTGAAGCTGGTGTACATAACCGAAAGTAAAAGACGCAAAAACTAAACTTAAGAACGGGAAGCATAGAAATGGCGCACATAGAACATCTCTACCATTTCTTTCAATGAGAATGACAGATCTATAAGACATTTCTATGTGAATTTGGTCGGGTCGCCCAAAAAGTTAGATATTGCAGCTTTAAAAAAGGAGACAATAGCACATCAGTGGCTACTTTAATTAGATTACGGCTGCATTTCTACACTTCTTAAAGTCCCAGTACTACTTGAGTGCTCAGAGCTCCATAAAGCTCAAAGATAAAACGTGCCTCATCACATACAGTCTCTCACCTCCAGCTCCAGATCCAGTGGCTCTTCCTCAGAGAGAGGAATGACAGCTATCTTGGTGATCTTGTAGACTTTGTGGTTGCCTGGCATCTGGCCAACCAGCGCTTTTTGGCGGATCAGTATGAGACCTAGAGGAAGATCTGCCAACAGGAAGGGGGAAGGGATGCGTCATCACAGGCACAGAATTCCACACATTCCATTAGGTGCGACTTCTAGGGTTGGGCGGTATCCAGATTTTCATATTGTCATATCATCCTTCTCTCATCCAGGGATTTATGGTATTACTGGTTTAGTACACAAGGGTGTGCCAAAAACCGCAAAAAAGCCCATTGGGCGTTTATTACCAGAATGCTAACAAAATTAGCACAAGTAATAGCACATTTCAATGGAGACTGCTAGCTAAATATGCTAACAAGCGCAAACAAAAATAAACGAATTGCAATGACAGGCAATCCAGATCATAAAGTTATACATATATAGGTAGGAGCTACCGAATGTCATTTTTGGGGAGTTTGGACATTTACAAGCGAATGTGAACGAGAGACATTGTGCAAATGAACAAAGTTTTGAGGCATGCTTGTCTGAAGGAAAAACAGTACTGGCTCTGGAGCAGCATGTGTACAGGCTGTGTCTGTGTGGAGTCGCTAGGGCAATGGGCCTGCTCAGAGAACATGAGGGAGGAGCAAACAGGCCAAGTATGGATAGGAGAAAAAAAACAAGAAAATTAAGATAGCAGTGGCAGCTGTACAGATAACTCATCCAAAGGGCTTTGACCTCTCAAACACGGCAAAAAGCTAACACAATATGATGCCCCGTCATTAATTGAGCCACTCAGAGAACTAGCAAGTTAAACTTAGGGGTCGCATTAACGCAGAATTCAGTGTTTTTCACGCAGGAAAAAGTATAAAAAACGCATAAGAAATATCTTGCTGCGTTTTGTAAACACAGATGTAAAATGCTTCTTATTGTAATTTCTGCTCGGCATCAGACTAATTTCATGCTACAGTTGCACTTCTCCACTCTGATGAGAATACACAAACTGGCATTCTATCAGCAGATAGTGCTCTGAATAATGTGTAGCTACTTTTCTCGGTGTAGTGAGCCTACTTCTCTCCAGTAAAATGCAAGATTAACTTTAAACAAAACATTAGGAAATGTAGCTACATTCATTCTTTCTATGATAAACATTAGAAATATGATGGCCATGCATTGTTTCAACCTGGTCTCAGAGCATTTCGTATTATTCTGTATGTAAATCCGAGACACTCCATTTAGTATGATATGTAACGTTTTGTATGGTTACATAAGACAGATGGTTAGTTAAGGCAAAAACGAAAGTAGGGTGGTTAGTCGGTCGGGATGGATGGATGGATGGATGTATGGGCGGGTGTATAACGTGAACGTCTAGCAACTCAAAGGTTGCGAGTTTGAATCTCATTACGGACAACTTTAGCATTTTAGCAACTTTTGAACTACTTACTACTTTTTACCTACTTTGCAACTAATTAGCATGTTAGCTAACTCTTCCCCAAAACATAACCTTAACCCTTTAAACTAACTCCTAAGCTTAACAATAATCCCTAGCCTAGCTAACATTAGCGAGCTAGCTAACGTTAGCCACTTAGCTAGAATTTGTAACATACAGTTGAAGTCGGAAGTTTACATACACCTTAGCCAAATACATTTAAAAACTCAGTTTTACACTATTCCTGACATTTAATCCTAGTAAGAATTCCCCGTCTTAGGTCAGTTAGGATCACCACTTTAGTTTAAGAATGTGAAATGTCAGAATAATAGTAGAGAGAATGATTTATTTAAGCTTTTATTTATTTCATCACATTCCCAGTGGGTCAGAAGATTACATACACTCAATTAGTATTTGGTAGCATTGCCTTTAAATTGTTTAACTTGGGTCAAACGTTTCAGGTAGCCTTCCACAAGCTTCCCACAATAAGTTGGGTGAATTTTGGCCTGACAGAGCTCGTGTAACTGAGTCAGGTTTGTAGGCCTCCTTGCTCGCACACGCTTTTTCAGTTCTGCCCACACATTTTCTATAGGATTGAGGTCAGGGCTTTGTGATGGCCACTCCAATACCTTGACTTTGTTGTCCTTAAGCCATTTTGCCACAACTTTGGAACTATGCTTGGGGTCATTGTCCATTTGGAAGACCCATTTGCGACCAAGCTTTAACTTCCTGACTGATGTCTTGAGATGTTGCTTCAATATATCCACATAATTTTCCTTCCTCATGAAGCCATCTATTTTGTGAAGTGCACCAGTCCCTCCTGCAGCAAAGCACTCCCACAGCATGATGCTGCCACCCCCGTGCTTCACGGTTGGGATTATGTTCTTCGGCTTGCAAGCTACCCCCTTTTTCCTCCAAACATAATGATGGTCATTATTTACATTTTAGTCATTTAGCAGACGCTCTTATCCAAAGCGACTTACAGTTAGTGAGTGCATACATTTGCCATGCTCTACCAACTGAGCTACAGGGGATAATGGCCAAACAGTTCTGTTTGTTTCATCAGACCAGAGGACATTTTTCAAAAAAGTACGATCTTTGTCCCCATGTGCAGTTGCAAACCGTAGTCTGACTTTTTTATGCCGGTTTTGGAGCAGTGGCTTCTTCCTTGCTGAGCGGCCTTTCAGGTTATGTCGATATAGGACTCGTTTTACTGTGGATATGGATACTTTTGTACCAGTTTCCTCCAGCATCTTCATAAGGTCCTTTGCTGTTGTTCTGGGATTGATTTGCACTTTTTGAACCAAAGTATGTTAATCTCTAGGAGACAGAACGCGTCTCCTTCCTGAGCGGTATGACGGCTGCGTGGTCCCATGGTGTTTATACTTGCGTACTATTGTTTGTACAGATGAGGCGTTTGGAAATTGCTCCAAAGGATGAACCAGACTTGTGGAGGCTGATTTCTTTTGATTTTCCCATGATGTCAATCAAAGAGGCACTGAGTTTGAAAGTAGGCCTTGAAATACATCCACAGGTACACCTCCAATTGACTCAAATAATGTAAATTAGCCTATCAGAAGCTTCTAAAGCCATGACATAATTTTCTGGAATTTTCCAAGCTGTTTAAAGGCACAGTCAACTTAGTGTATGTAAACTTCTGACCCACTGGAATTGTGATACAGTGAATTATAAGTTAAATAATCTTTCTGTAAACAATTGTTGTGAACATTACTTCCGACTTCAACTGTATCATACGTTATGCAAATTTATAACATATCAAACATTTTACAAATTCGTAACATACTGTAATTCTTGCAAATTCGTAACATAACACATTTTGTAAATTCCGAACATATTGTACATTTTGCAAATTCGTAACATACAATACGAATTGTAATTCATATCATACGAAATGGGTGATGGACATCTACAAATTAATTCATACCATACGAAACGTGTCTCGAATTTACATACAGAATAATACGAAATGCTCTGAGACCAGTCTGATGTCTTTTTTGCAAAAAAGACCTTGCATTTTCATTGCAAGTTAATTCACTTGTGTGGCTGCCAATCAAATAGCTTGCACTTCTGTCATCTAATGAAAATTAAGCTATTTTCTGCCTAATGTGTTGCACTAAATGTATTTTCTGTGAAGGAAAACTATAGATGTACGTGCACGTCCCTGATCACTCTATTGAGGCAACAACAAAAAAACACTTGACTTTCAATATAAAACGTGACCCTGGTCAATACACAGCTGGTCCCACTTTCTCCCGTTGTGCTATTTTGTGGTCCTCTGTAGCTCAACTGGTAGAGCACGGCGCTTGTAACGCCAAGGTAGTGGGTTCGATCCCCGGGACCACCCATACACAAAAAAAAATAATGTATGCACGCATGACTGTAAGTCGCTTTGGATAAAAGCGTCTGCTAAATGGCATATTATATTATTATTATTATTATACAAACAAACACGTGAATAGCTCAACTGTTCTGGGGAACTACGGTAAGCTTCACAATGTAAAATAATGTGACAGGTGAAATGAAGAATGCGATCTGCTTCATCTCCTAAAATATTGCACAAGTTGACTGAAGGCATTTACTTAATGTAGCTACAAATATTAAAATGTATTGAAAAACTTCAAAGAAATACACTGCTCAAAAAAATAAAGGGAACACTTAAACAACACATCCTAGATCTGAATGAATGAAATAATCTTATTAAATACTTTTTTCTTTACATAGTTGAATGTGCTGACAACAAAATCACACAAAAAATTATCAATGGAAATCAAATTTATCAACCCATGGAGGTCTGGATTTGGAGTCACACTCAAAATTAAAGTGGAAAACCACACTACAGGCTGATCCAACTTTGATGTAATGTCCTTAAAACAAGTCAAAATGAGGCTCAGTAGTGTGTGTGGCCTCCACGTGCTTGTATGACCTCCCTACAACGCCTGGGCATGCTCCTGATGAGGTGGCGGATGGTCTCCTGAGGGATCTCCTCCCAGACCTGGCTAAAGCATCCGCCAACTCCTGGACAGTCTGTGGTGCAACGTGGCGTTGGTGGATGGAGCGAGACATGATGTCCCAGATGTGCTCAATTGGATTGAGGTCTGGGGAACGGGCGGGCCAGTCCATAGCATCAATGCCTTCCTCTTGCAGGAACTGCTGACACACTCCAGCCACATGAGGTCTGGCATTGTCTTGCATTAGGAGGAACCCAGGGCCAACCGCACCAGCATATGGTCTCACAAGGGGTCTGAGGATCTCATCTCGGTACCTAATGGCAGTCAGGCTACCTCTGGCGAGCACATGGAGGGCTGTGCGGCCCCCCAAAGAAATGCCACCCCACACCATGACTGACCCACCGCCAAACCGGTCATGCTGGAGGATGTTGCAGGCAGCAGAACGTTCTCCACGGCGTCTCCAGACTCTGTCACGTCTGTCACGTGCTCAGTGTGAACCTGCTTTCATCTGTGAAGAGCACAGGGCGCCAGTGGCGAATTTGCCAATCTTGGTGTTCTCTGGCAAATGCCAAACGTCCTGCACGGTGTTGGGCTGTAAGCACAACCCCCACCTGTGGACGTCGGGCCCTCATACCACCCTCATGGAGTCTGTTTCTGACCGTTTGAGCAGACACATGCACATTTGTGGCCTGCT